CTCTCGCTCGCTCGCTCGCTCGCTCGCTCGCTCGTTTCGCCTCTTTTCATTACTGTGTTGTAGCCACCACCTTGACCCCGAACTCCGAACACGGCTATATACCTACCTACTATTTCTTAGGACGACGGATACACGTACGCGATGAAACCGTCAAGACCTTCGGTTTCTCGCAGTTCACACCAAAATCGACACCTCCATCCCTTTCGATAGATGACTTTACCTAATTGGGAGCAATTCGAGTTGCATGCCGGCAGAAGGCAGGAACTCGACTTATCATTCGCACAGAGGATCTATTAACTCTATGATCATTCGACGACCTGACGGGATTGACGTATGTGTACCTATATACATACATAAATACATATGTGTAGGTATATATATATATATATATATAATAATGTAGTAGATTCGAGTAGACACGACGTCTAAACTAGAGATACATCATTATGTATAACTCGTACGAGTAATTCCGCTCTTCAGTTCAATGATGAAAGAATTACATTCTAAAATTTTGGATATGGGGTATCGAGTGATTGCGACAACAGTATTTAAATCGTGGATTATCAATTACGACTCGAACGTCCGAAATCTTGAAAACACCGGACGATGATTGAAAGATCAAAAAAGATGCCCGTTCACATGATTCACATTCGACAGGACATGGGCGTCCTTAGGTGCGTGTTGCGTCGCCGCGAATCCCTTCCAGTTCGAGTGAGCTGGGCTAGACGTATCGCGGGGGAGGCGTACATAGGCTCGCTCGGCCATGCGCATGCATCGCGCCGCGTAACAGTTGAAATACGAAAAAGCGAACAGTCGCCATCCGAAGTTGATCATGTAGATATTCGAAAAACGTCCGATCGCAAGGTGATCACGTCGTGCTGCGTGCATGCACAAAGTGGAAGAAGTGGAAGAGGAAGAGGAATCGGAATCGGAATCGGAAAGGATAACGAAACGACGCGACGGTGTGGTTCGCGAGATGAGACGACCCCTTTGAACCCTGTGAACTGCAGTGACTGCGTTTCTCGAGCCGTGAGTACTTTACCTCTCGGTGGAACGGTCACGATAACCGATTACGCGTACGAAACAAGTCCCGCGGAAACTTGTCCCAAAGAGAAACGAGCCCGTCCGAAGAATCGTTCGATGAAAGATCCTCGGTGAATCGTTTCCCCGTGAACGTTCGCGTAGGCTGATTCGCCTCCGGTCCCAGGTAGGATGATCGGGCCATCTTCCGGCACCGGGGGCGACGGCGGTGGCGGTATCTCGGCGGCGAACGAACCGTCGTCGGATGACCGCACCGGAAGGAAACGGATCTTCGAAGAGCTAGAGGACATCGACGGTTTCTGCGAGGAGATACAGAACGATCGCAAACGGTTTCCGCGATATCGAGAGATCGTCGAGGTCGCCGATCCATTGGAAGCGATCGCTTCGAGTCGAGCGGTGACGAGCAGCGACGATACCACCGCCGGTGTTGGCCTATTCTCGCCGTTATCCGGCCAGGAAGCCGTGGCGATGGAAGAGGTGTGTCCGGTGGCGAGGCTGGAGGTTCTACTTGTCGACGGAACCAACTGCACTTGGACCACCGTCTCTGAGCTCGAGTCTCCGGAGAACGTTGCAGAGATCGCGGCTTCGCCCGCCACCCCGTCGTCCTCTTCGTCGTCGTCGTTGTCGTCGTCGTTGTCGTCGTCGTCGTCGTCGTCGTCGTCGTCGTCGTTGGAACACGGCCAGCAACAACGACGGCAACGTGCGATACGGGAGATGCGAGTCGATGAAACGGACTACGTGATTCACGGTTCGGATTACTGGCAAGCGCCGTTGATCGCCGTTTCCGAGCGTGAACAGAGCAGATCCAACGTGTCGTCGTCGTCGTCACCCACCGATCGTCAGCAACAACAGTTTCTACGACAACAACAACAACAACAACAACAACAACAACAACAAAAGCAACAGTTCGACGACCAAGAGACCGGAAATCTTTCTTGGCTGTTGGATTTCAAGCTGGACCCTTTCATCGAGGTCTCCGACGACAATTCGTCGGTCGTCGTCGCCGCGCCTTTTTCCAGAGACGCTCACAGCGGTGCGTATCGTCGGTGTCACTCGTAACTTACAGCCTTACAACAAGCTCATGGAAACGTTCGCTTTTCTCGCATACAGGGACGAAAACCAGGATAAACGGACGTGCTTACGGATCTGGCTACGCGAACGACACCCGAAGAAGTTACGGCGAGAATAATTCGTCGTCTCTGCAAGAATCGTCGGCGTCGTCCTCGTCGTCGTCATCTTCATCGTCGACGTCGTCGTTGTCCTCGTCGTTGTTGTCGTCGTCGTCGAACCAGTGCAGCTACGCCAGTCTCGATAATCGAAATTTTACGTCCTCCCGGTGTAACGGACCGAAGAAGCCTCCCTTCACGTACACGGAACTGATCGAGCACGCTCTCAGAGAGAAGGGGGAGCTGACGGTGTCCGCTATTTATCAATGGATCTCGTGAGTATCGTCGAAAAAAAGAAATGAAAGATGAAACGATAGTTAGAGGTACGTATCGTTGGGAGGACGATTCGCCTCGTCTTGTATCTCCGATATCTATCCGAATAGTTCTCAACGTTCGCTATGTCTATATAGCGTGGTGTTTCGGCGAGCTTGCGATCGAACAGGTGAAAACGCGGAGTCGGTAAATTACGCGCATTCGTGTCGGGGACGGGACCGTCGGGGTTGAGAGGACGGGAGAGGGTTGCGACGGAGTCGAGAAGCTAGTACCAGCTGGTACCATCGCACCGTAGCGAGGGCAGCGGTGCCAAGGGGTACCATCGTAATTGTAACGACGCGACCCTTCGCGCTGACGAATCGCGCCCCGCGTCGATGCTGGCCGACTAATCGTACGAATTTCGACTGTTCCATATTTCCTCGAACGTACTAAATACGTGCAACTGCTTGCTTCGCGTGTCGTTGAGAGCTACTCGGTCGACTCTGCGACCGGCGAACGCGTTTTTTCGGCGTCCCCAGATGCGACGCTGTCTTTCGTCTCGTTCGATCGTATCGGTCGATACTGTACGTCGCTGACGGGTCTCTACTTTCGCCCTCTCCTAAAACCGGGAAAACGATTAGAGCCACGCGTTGGCGTGTAACGCGCCGCGATATCGCCGCGGCCAGGTGAACAAACGTGTACCGACGCCTGGCTGACGTACGCGCGGTACTAGCTTCGATCGTCTCACCCCTGGAACTTAATACCCCTGGACGAATAATTCTCGGTGTTTATCGGCTCGAAAACGAATTTCAGAGAACATTTTCCCTACTACAAGAGCAACGACGATCGTTGGAAGAATTCCGTTCGGCACAATCTCTCGATAAACCCTCACTTCAGGAAGGGGTCGAAAGCGCCGCACGGAGCTGGTCATCTGTGGGCGATCGCGAATCGTTCGATGGACTCCAGGCCCAGGCAAATCATCGATCCAACCAGCAATGCCTTTAATAATTCGTCTATGAAACAAGCTGGCAAAACGAATGCCGTGCCGGAAATCGAGAACTCGAGGAAATGTAGCAGGTGACCCACCCATGATCTCCGTTCCGTTCGTCTCGTCAACTGCTGCGTAGCCCAGTGTGATCCGTCGCGGTTTATTCGACCCGCAATTTATCGATGTGTACGTTTTGCAGCGAGATCAGTCCGATAGACGAATTGGAAGCGGCAACTGCGAGCATAACGACCCAGCAACCGTCCACGGAAGACGAAGCCGAAGGCATGGTGAACTCGGTAACGTTGGAGCATTGCGCCGAAGAAATTCTTAGCGGTATCAAGAAAGAAGTGGAAGTGCAGTATCTTGTTCCAATGATGGTGTCGGAGACCACCGAACACGACTCGTCCCAGGCTGCCGCTACCGCAGCCGCCGTCGCTGCCGCCGCCGCGGCCGCTGCCGCCGCCGCTGCTCAGCGGACGCACGAAATCCATTATCCCGTTGTCAAAGAGAGCGGTAACGAAATTCTCGTTGCGAACGATCGTTTCAATCGGATCGTTCGTGTCTCGTAAAATCGTTCGTGCATTCTGTTCGGCGACATAATTCGACGTATCGTTTCGCGCAGATTTCCTAAATCCGGTATCGAAGGAAGTGGTCGCGGAGGAGTGTGGACTCATCAGCGAAGGCTATCTGGTCACGGACCTGAATCCGACGACTACCTTCGGCATGAACATGATCGAACCTGAAATCATCGTGCCCGAAAATCTATTTGGGGAGGAACTGAGTTTTCAATTTTACGAACTGTCGTCTCCGTCGCAGATTCAGTCTGCCTGACACACGGAGAAGAACAGGCTGCTTCGATTGATCGTAATCGACGAGGCGCGGCTGCAGGATATTCAAGATTCCGATCGCGCGAACATCGCGGAAGAGGTTCGCGTCGATGTTATCGATGAAAGCGAATTCAAAGAGTCGATGACGGCCGAAAGCTGATTTCTTCTTCTCACTACTACTACTAGTACTACTATTATTTATACTATCATCATTACTACTGCTACACTGCTACGACTAATATTACTACTACTGCTACTACTACTACTACTACTTTTTTCTGATGCATCAACGAAATTTATATACGCTGGCGATCGCCGGCCAAAATAAAGATGGTCCAGAAATTTCCTTCTCGCGAATCGTCATCGATCCTCGCATCAGCGAATCTGAATACCGTTGACTCGTGTCCGTACCCCGTCGAATCATTTAATACTATGCCTTAGTATAGTTTTCTTTCAGCCCTTGCAGAGTGTAGTGTGCAACGTTTTTTTGTATTTTACAAAAGAAAATACAATATTTACTAAGACGTATGTACGTCGTCGTTGTTATTTGTGAACAGAAAGGAAACGAAGAAAGGAAAATTATCAGATTCAACGTACGATGTATAAGTGTAAATCGTTTCTCCATTTCATCTATTGACTTTATGACCATTTTACGAGGCAACGCGCGTTCTCTTTGTACCGCGTCCTATTCCTTTTTAGCCTCTGCCTCGTTTCCTTCCGGTTCTTCGGTATTCTGTTGTTCGTGTTGCTTTACAGTCAATCGTTCGATCAATTTCTTCTCCCTTTCCAACAACTTTGCCTTTTTAGCTTCCTTCTTTTTCTTCTTCTCCTCTTTCTCGGCCAGGGATAACGCCTCGGCCAGTTTCTCCTTGCCCAGGATACCTTCCCCGATCAACTGGCGCCTGATCTCCTCGATCTTCCGTTCCTTTCTTAATTTAGCTTCCAATTCTTGCTCTTGTTTCTTAGCGATTCTAGCTTGCACATCGTTTATCAGTTGTTCCATATTGGCCATTTTGGCAGCTATGTGTTCTTGCCTGCGGACAAAAAGATTTATGCATACACGCGGCGCCGGTAGTGGTGGTGGTGGTGATCGTGGTGGTGGTGATGTTGGTCAGATGGTAGGAAAGAAAGGAAATTAGAATTTCGTAGCACGTACCTTGCCATCGTAGCCTCTTCCTCTTTTTTCTTCTGCTCCATGATCGTTTCGAATCTATCTTGAATCGACCGAGGATATTTGAAGTTTTCATACTCCTTCGCTTCTTCGACTTCCTGAGGAGTGGGCCAGGCGAGTCCCGCGGGTACTCCCAATGCTTTCATTCCGTATCTACCCAGTATTCGTTTCTTATACTTGACGGTATCGTGATACCATTCTATGGATTCATCGTAAGGTCTCTGTTCGAGCAGCACGTTTCTGTGGGCGGTCGAGAGTCTCGACTTGTTTCTTTTCCTGTTTAGTTCCGCCGGATCCGCTTCCTCTTCAACGTAGAGCGGTTCTTCATCGGCGGACTCGAGGACTTTGTCGGCTGCAGTTATTTTCGCACAGTACCACCTCGCGCCGATACTTTGAAATCGTGAACGTAAGTGTACGTTGAAAAGCAATACTTTCACAGACATTTTTCGACAAACTTTCTTTTTACTGTCGCTTTACAGGCTCGCGCCTGATACGTAACGCGGAATACCGACGATTAATTATCGGTACGTCGTCGGCTACGACTACTACATAAAAAAAGTGAACCACGAAACTACAAACAGGTTAGGTTAATATACTGTCGCTCAGTCGGATACGTTTCGATAGTAGATCAGATTGTACGTCGCATCGTTCCATTCGTTCAAACTGTTCAAAGTAGACGAAAACGTGTTTCTTCCACGATTACTTCTCCGGTCGTTCTCTACGCAAAACAACACATCTCTCGATTACGTTAGGTTAGGTTACCTAACCACGATCGACTACGAACAAGAGCTGGACTAGTTTGGTGTACGTACACAGTGGTGAATGGTACACAGAGAGAGGAATAGGAAGAGAAGGACGACGAAGACGACGAGAAAGTGGAAATATGGGTCGGCTAGCACAGGTACGCAGCGCTTATAGACGACGAAACACCATGTTCCACTAGGGTTCTCTTTTAAAATACGTTTGATCGCATAAAACAAAGATAGAATGAAAATTGAAATTGATAGGTTGCCGATGAACAATCATCCGACAAATGCAAAACGTTCGTATTCATGGGAGAAGGTTACACCTTGGGCAATTCTTTGGTAGCCGTTATTTCGCAAAAGTAAGTGTGTGTACATCAGTGATGAACCAACGAGCGAACGTTAATTGTAATAAGATCGACGGCGGCACACGCCTCGTTTCTCGTTTCAGTCCCGACGTAGAATTTTGCGCCTGTTTTATCAATCATCCGGCAGAAGGAAACATCTACTTGAGGATTCAAGCGAAGGAGGGAAACGCGATAGATGTATTAAGGAGAGGATTGGAAGAGTTCGAGAAAATTTGCGATCACACTTTAGAAAGCTTCGACGAGGCTTACAAAACGGCTCGATCGTCGGGCGTATGAAGATATAGTCGCATCGAGACGTTTCACGACCAATATTTCCAAACATGAGTGACCAAATAGATGACACAGTCAGGCCTGGTTCATCATTAGGGGAATTGTGAGAGCTGGAAGTAAGATGAAGCGGTATGATGAAGTCAACGATCGGTAAACATCGAAGAGATGAAAAATAATGAAATAGAACAGATTTAGCACGGAAGTTTTATTGATTTAAACAACCTCTGCGGGTCTCTGTCCTCCCACGACTCTGTGATTCTTAGACAAGTAGTCTGCGAATTCTTGATACGGGGCTTTTCTCAACGCCTGATCGTGCCAGAGATCCGGCGTCAAATACGCGTAAGTCTTTGCGATGGCCGCGTACGTTGCTTTGGCGAAGTTGCCAAGAGTACAAGTGGATCCTCTGGCGGAGGTGTAACAATCCTCGATGCCAGCCATCTGCAGCAGTTTCTTGGGTACGGGCGCGGACACGATACCGGTACCTCTAGGCGCCGGGATCAATCGCACCTGAACAGAGCCGCACTTGCCGGTCACCTTGCAGGGTACCGTGTGAGGATCCCCGATCTTGTTTCCCCAGTAACCACGGCGCACAGGTACGACCGAAAGTTTAGCCAAGATGATGGCACCGCGAATAGCAGTGGCTACTTCCTTCGAGCACTTGACTCCTAAACCGATGTGCCCCTTGTAGTCTCCAATAGCCACGAAAGCCTGTGTGTGTGAAACGAACAAATAAGAAGTAAAGAAGAATCGCGTACATTAAACAATGAAATCGCGATGCCTCGTCTCGCGCGCGTACCTTGAAACGTGTACGTTGACCGGCTCTGGTCTGTTTCTGCACGGGCATAATCTTCAGGACTTCGTCCTTTAGTTCGGGTCCCAGGAACTTGTCGATGATCTCGTATTCCTTGATCGGCAACGAGAAAAGATAGATGTGCTCGAGCGACTCGATCCTACCATCTCTGACGAGGCGACCCAATTTGGTCACTGGGATCCATTCTTTGCTGTCCTCTTTGCCGCGTCCGCGACCACGGCCACGTCCTCTGCCACCGCGGCCCCTACCCCTCGGTCCGCCACGGTCACCGCCACCGCGAGACCCGAATCCTCCACGAAAACCTCCACGCGCGGCTGGAGCAGTGTCCGCCATTCTGTTACACAGTTTAATTGAAACAATGAGATGAATCCTGACCAGCGTACGAATAGTCAGCCACCTTTATAAGTATTTATATTTCATACAGTCTCAGTTTATTAAAAATATACAAATTTCGAATGGAACGTTTGTTGCGAGACGACAACAGAAAGATCGATTGGCAGTCGCCACAACACGTGGTGCGATCGCGAGATTTATTTTAAATCGGCCAACTGTCATCCCATCGCTTTCCGAACTTTGTGAAAATCGTGTATCTTTCAGAATCGTCGATTCATCGTCGAACGCACGTTCCTATCGAGGTTTCCCGACAGAAATTTTGGAAAAAATATTGGATGCCACTTACGTTACTTCTTTCTTCTGATCACGGTTACGGAAGAAGAAGGATCGTTGCTAGTGAATAAACAAGAGTGCTCACACGTCCAGCGTTTCGTGTTTCCCGTACAAGTGCTGCACCACGCGGTCAATTATGCAGAAAGAAGAAACTACACGAAATACGAATGGTCATCTATATATACACGTATGTACAGAGCGAAGTTATTTGCGATTGTTCAACTTTTCGTACACGGCGTACGGTCCACGTCGACGCGTACGCGCGATTCACGAAATGTCTCGATCGGTCGATGAACAAGGTAAAGGGAGGCGTGATTGAAATGAGAGGAGCAAAGTGTACTGTAGACGTCATTATTTTCTCCTTAAGATAAATAGTAACGGGAAATTGGTGGTGACAGAACCGGTAGTAGGATGACACCCCACCCGGTGGATCGGAAAATCTCATGTCGAGTCTGAATCAATCTCCATCCGAGGAGGCCGTTTTATCTGCGCGGGGTTATAAATTCCTGAAAAAGCTGGGCGAAGGTGCTTACGCGAAGGTTAATCGATCATACAATATACGTGTAAATCGTTGGCGTACGAGTAGCGAGAAGTATCGTACTACATACTACTATAGTGAGAAAGCGATATGTGTGCCTGAGGCGCGGGATACGATACACCGTACGGGTGAAGAAAACAAAGAAAAATGGGGTCGGAGGCGGTAAAACGATGGATTCTTCCTTCCTCGCGGTTTTAGGTATATCTGGCGGAATATAAACCGGAATCCGATCCGGACAAGAACAGTACTCTGGCGTGCAAAGTGATAGACACCGGAGAGGCGCCCAAAGATTTCGTCAAGAAATTTCTTCCCCGGGAACTGGACATACTGGTGAAATTGAATCACCCGCACGTGGTGCACGTGCACAGCATATTCCAGAGACGCGCGAAATATTTTATCTTTATGCGGTACGCCGAGAACGGCGATCTCCTCGAGTTCATTTTGAAGAACGGTGCAGTGGGAGAGAGTCAAGCGCGCATATGGTTCAGACAACTTTCGCTTGGTATAAGATTTCCTCCTCTCTATGGCCTATGCGTGTGTGTAACCCGGCTCCGGCCTAGGTGTACGACCTACCTACGGCGCCTACGCATACGCGTTACTTACGTAATTTACGTACGATTCGTTGCACGCACGCAACGATGCAGTATAATATAGTAGTAGTGGTAGTAGGTAGGTAGTATATCGCGGCGGGGGCGGCGGTAGAGCGCAAGAGATTATTGAACGCGAGAATAAGGAATAACGGCGATCTTCATCAGGTCTTCAATACTTGCACGAGATGGAGATAGCTCACAGAGACATGAAATGCGAGAACGTTCTTTTAACTTCGAATCTTAATGTGAAACTCGCCGACTTTGGATTCGCTCGTTACGTGGTAGACAATCGCGGTAAACGCGTTCTCAGCGATACCTACTGCGGTTCCCTGTCGTACGCCGCACCGGAGATCCTTCGCGCCTCCCCGTACAATCCGAAGATCGCCGATCTCTGGTCTCTCGGCGTTATCCTCTACATACTCCTGAACAAGTCGATGCCGTTCGACGACACCGACATCAAACGCCTCTACGAACAACAGACGAATCGGAAATGGAAATTTCGTAGCAAGATCGCGGAAGCGCTCAGCGATCAAGTCAAGAAAGTGGTGACTCGCCTCCTGGAACCCGACGTCTCGAAACGTTGGAAACTGGATCAGGTGGTGAACTGCGAGTGGATCGCGATGGATCCGCGGCTTCTGGTTCTCACGCCCGCCGAACAAGCTGCTCTGAATCACGCGACGCAGGAGAAGAAGAAAATGGAGGAGAAGATCTCCGCGAAAGATCCCGTCAGTCTCATCCTGAATTTTTTTCACCGTTGTTTTTATCAACCCTATATAATACCGTCGCATTCTCCCTTCTTCTCGAACGTCTTTAGAAACTGTTCAAAGTGGAAGAGAAGAAGAAAGTGACCGTCGAGGGAGACAAGAAGAAGGGGATCGAAGAGGTCACCGTGATCAAGAAAGCCGCCAGAGTTCGTGTCTCACTTTTTCTTTTATTTCCTTCGATCGTTCTTCTCTCTCTCGCACGAACGAACGTATCTACTACACAATTCGTTTCGCTCTTTCGTTCCAGATAGCCATATCTTCCGTCGCGGCTGGAACGGGCGCGATCAGGCGTTAAGCCGACGAACATCGTAGCAGTCACGCGTAACGTCTTCGCGTCTTCGCGACGTATCGAGAGAGGGAGAGAGAAGTCATCGGCTTCCGGTCTCGTAAGGCGTCACTTAAGAAAAAGTTGAGATCTCGCATAACTCGAACAATTTTTTTTCATATTTCTCTTTTTTTCTTCATTTCTTCATTTCTCTTCTGACTCCGTGTTTCTCGTCGTTCGTAACTTTGTGCGTGTAAATCCGTTTACGCTCCACTCGCGATTTCGCTCCCCGATGCACAGGTACGATATGAATACATCGTAACGCGTAATTGTATGAACGCGCGTACAGGAAGATCGACTTGGTCGAAACGAAATTAATTGGCCGTCGTAGCGTATCGTGCCTTCATCACGGTCGTACGATTCCCAGGCGAGATGGATTTTAGGTAATAATCGAACCTCGAGACGCGGATGATCTCTATTCTTTCTTCGAAAGGAATTCGAACGATATTTCGAGGCGACGCGAGTCCTCCCAAATTCCACAGACCGTCCGACGACACCAATAGCAGCTGGCCGTTCGGTGATCTGCTCGTCGCGAACGCGTCCGAGCCTGGTAGAACGTAGCTATCCAACACCACCCTCCGGTAGGGTCGATACCGCAGGATCAGCGTGTGCGAACTCAGTCTGAGAACGATCCAGAGGGAATGGCGCGTCTCTTCCAGGAAAGCATCCATTATTCTCGATATGTGCAAGTCTGCGAATTTTCGATTTGTCTTTTTTTTTTTTTACACTTTTTTTATATTCTTTCTTCTCTCGGTGTATCGATCGATCGATTTCCGTCAAATAAAACGTGAACGCGAGACGACGTAGTACGAGTACTTACCTAGGATGGGTACTCTCGAATGGATTGGCGGACCGCCGTCCGCCGACGAGAATATAGAAACTGAATTCTGTTTCACGAGAACGATGAATTCCTCCCCGTTTACAACGCTCGATCTCAGTAGCACAAAGTCGTCGCTGGTTCGAAAACCGAAATCCGTTATCGGTTTGCAGCGCGTAGAAAAGTGGGTAGCTTCGCCGCATCGTATCCCTTCGAGGGTAGTAGGCAGTCCGGAAACGTTGAGAGTCGCTGCATCCTTTACGATCTCTAATTTGCTCAGATACATTGCCCTGTCTACGAGAGGAAACGTTGACAACGTGAACGAAAAAAGTCGGACAGTGAAACTAAATTGTCCGTCAAGTAAATGGAAAGATATCGGCGGCGGCCTAATGCGCGCGTATGCGTCTAAAGTATGAGAGAACGAGAAAGAAATACGTACTGGCGAAGGCTGCGACAATCGTTTCCGCTGTGAGATACAACTTTTCGATCGCGTGAACGATCGGTGAAGCTTGGTTCGTATAACTCGCGTACAAGTTGCTCGTTTCCGCGTTCGCGTAACGGCCGTTGATCGTGAGGCCTCCGTTGACGATGCTCAGGCCATTTCGGAACTCGATACTCGTCTTTATTCTTCGAAGACGACGCTCGTGGTGGTGGTGGTGGTGGTGGTCGTCGTCGTCGTCGTCGTCGTCGTCTTCGAAGCCGCCCTTCTTTAACTGACGATTCGTCAGTTCGGTCAGGTTCACCTCGTTGACCAAACCGTTGGCGATGAGCTCGGAAGCATCGAGGAAACCGCGAATCTCTTTTCGACCGTAAATCGTTTGATTCGCGGATTTTGACAGTAACGAGTCGTCGACGCTGATAATGCCCGCCGTCGTAACGGTTACACCGGCGTCGAAACAAGCGGAGCCTTTGAATGTTTTGCTCCCCTCGATCAGCGTCGACACTCGTTTCGTTCCGGTGGGCAAGGCGTTCGCGAACCATTCTTGCAAGTTGTATCCGTGAAAATTTTCCGCGGTCACGGTCAACACCGTTTTCTTTCCGCTGAACGCGTTCTCTTGCGAATCGTATCTCGCAACATCGTTCCCGAGATCGAGATCGTTTATCGCGTTTCCCGCCACGTACAATGCTTCCGTCACGTTTATCTCATCGAACGTCCACTTCGCCCACACTTCTCGATCGACGTTCTTCAACAGTGAATTCTCGAACTCGTCGCCGAAATCCGTCGACGAACATTTCATCGTCGAATCGTTCGAAGCCGCGACGACGGTTCGAGCTCGGACATGTTTTAGGAACGCGCCGACCCGTATCTCCTGCGATCTCGTTCTGCTGAAAACGCGTCTCGATACGTTTTTCCACGTTTCCGGATCATATACCGTACTCGCTGGCGACCCGGGTGCGGCGAACGCGTTTCCCAATCTGACCGCGTCTCGAAAATGTAACCGGGCACCGCGAAACACCACCGCGCCGTCGTCCGTCGTCAACCAAATCCTTCCGAACTGACGTTCGTCGAGTAGGACATCGTTCGTGGTTTTTATTCGCGGCTCGCGCGAGAACCGCGCGGATCCCTGGACGATCGCCTTGATCGGTGACCGATTCGACGGCGTAATTTGGAAAGATCGCTGCGGCGCGTTTATCGCATTAGTTTCGACGTGTCCGAGAACGTTCTTCCTACCGAGACGATGTCGAGCGTCGGTATTGGTGCTGGTGGTGGTAACGATATCGTTCGTGTATGACGATCGACGAAACACATGTACGCACCCGGCGTTGAAACCATCGCGAAACTTTACGTTCGCCAACGATATCATTTGTTCAATTTTGATAGCGTTCACCGAGAAATCGTTCAAGTCGATCTCGTTCACGATGCGAACGCTGCCGTTCTTCTCGGACATCGTCCTCCTTGCCCTTATCGTTCCGGCGGTCAGTTCGACGTTAAGCCGAACGGGTGAGAGAAGCGAATTTCCCGTTAATTCCATCGCGTCGAACGACGATGCGTCGACAAGCAACGAGTCACGATCGAACCATAAGTTTCCGAGCTCCTTCGTTTCCTGGATCATACCGTCGACACGCGTCGCGAGCACGTTCGTCGCGGTAACGTTGCGACGTCGTTCTGAGCCTGGAAAGACGAAATTAAAAGACGAGACCGAATGTCTCTCGTCCAATCTCCCAAACGCGCGGGTACCGGTTACGTTGTTCACGGTGCCGTTCGTTATCGCCAACATAGTCTCGATCTCCGGGGCGATTACATAGTTGCCGCAGAGGTTTGCGCGAATCTTAGGAAAGTAGCGTGAGAACTTGCTGATCTCCACGTCCCGCGGAAAGTGCTTTTTGCCCGATACAGTTCCGATCGCAGCAGAGTTTCGTGAGGAGTTCCGGGCCACCCATGGCCCGCCGCGGCCGCCGACGACGACGACGTTGCTCCATTTCGTCTTTTTGCTCGAGAAAATCAAGGAGACCGGAACACGATCGTCCCGCAAAGATATCGCGTTCTCGAAGACTGTCTCGACCGATCCCCCCGATTTCTCGTCGATCAATCTCGCGACAGCTAAATTTTCGATTTTGACGTTTTCCGTAGTGAAATTATCGTTGAGCAACATGGATTCGTCGACGACTATTACAGGTCGCAGCCGTCTCGTTCCATGACCGATCGGTTTTCCGTTCAACCTGATACGATCCACCGTCACTTGATCGGTTTCGATGGAACCGGTGATCGTCGAGGAACTACCATTTAACGGCAATAAAAGTCCGTAGGCCGTAGTCAATTTCAAACGTTTCGCTTCCGCGTGTTTCACTATCAATCGTTGGCTCGTAAAGTTCACGGCGATGTTCAGCGGTGCGTAGACGTCCGTGGCATTCAGATTGGCGAACACGTGCTCCCCTTAAACGAGAATAGAGGTCTGTACGTTTGTATACGCTGTGCTCGACGACGCGCGACTTACCGGAAACTCTCTGATCGCCGACCACTTTGAAGGCGCGATCCTGCAGATCGTTCAAGAGCACTCCGTTGATCGATCCGCGAACGTTCACGTCATCCATCATCGGAAGGCTCATGAACGGGCATTTCCATTCTTTCACTTCTCCGACGTTTAATAGTCGATGGTAATTCGACGACGTTTTCGTTCTCGATTTGGACATTTTCCCAATTCCACGCAGATTCTCTCCGTACAATCGATTCGCGTTGCAATTGCTTTCGCATTTCGCTCGAATCTTTTGCGCGCGTACCGAATCGATCGTCAGAGTCCCCCTCGGCGAATGATCTGATCGCTGTTCGAATTTCGAGATCAGCTTTTCGTACTCTCTCGAAACGTTCACCAATTTCTGCGAGTCGTCCACCTAGATCGACGGCGGCGAGAGATGTGAAAGATGAAAAAAATTGGCGACAGTGCTCGGTGCACGGTGAGATTAAGTGGTATATATACGTACGTTTGTAGCGCGTAATCGACCGATGCGACCTTTCGAAATTCGTACGGGTTGCCGCGTGTTTCCAATTACTATCGTTCTTCGAGCTCTGGTGTTCGCCTCGACGATCCATCGTTTCGCTTCGTCTCGAAAGTTCTCGTACGAGTTCCTTCGGACCCATACCGGTCGTTTCAACGTCCACTGTCCATTATCTCCCGACTCGGTCAACAGCAACAATTCGTTTCCGTGCAGGTCGTATACCGGCCGAAACTGATCGACCGCGAGTGTTGACGAATTAGACCGTACGAATCTCCAGCCGTCGTACTGATAAGCCACTGTCATCGCGGCTTCGCGTATGCCAAACAGCAGTACTGTTTTCCGCGGGATCGAAACGATCGGTACGATAAACCGAACGTATAGCGGAATTCGTTGAAACGGCACGAATCGATCGTGCGTCTGCTTGTAAACGATACTTGAGGATTCTGTGGACAAGCAGAGAAAACGATCCGCGAAGCGGCCGTGTTTAAATTGAAATTCGAAGAAAGACGCGTCCCGGCTCGATGGCAATCGTTGAATTAACAGAAACTGGTTCGACTCGAGGAAGTGCCTGAAGATCAGAGTGGCGGCAGAGTCGGCGGTGATCACCGCCAAGTGCATCGAGCCCCTGCTTCGAAAAGGAATCAATTTCTTGGCTCCTTGACCGATCACCTGAGTCGGGTCGAAGTACTTGCCGAGCCACGTGTAAACGGAGACGTTGCTGCGAGTAGCGATGCCCAGGTATAACTGATTCATACCTATACCGTTCCAAATCGCCAAATCGGTCGTCGAGTTCAATTCGAGATCCTGATCGCTCGCACGTAGAGCGTAATCATCGTCGTCGGCATCGTTCGGTACTTTGGTGAAGTTCAACACGAGAACGGATCCGTTTCGATGTTCAATTATCAGGAGGGCACCGCAGGCGCAACCGTTTACGACGAACCGCGTTCCGTTCGTCACGGGGTAACTGGCCACTTCTGCGTTTAAACTTTCCTCCTACAAAATAAAAATTCAATTGCATTCGATCGTTCGTCATCACCTGATCCTCGGGCGAACGAGATGCGATAACTTTACGTTCATCGTTATCCGGTGCACGGATACTTTGCGATCGTCCAATACAGCGGCGAACCAGACCGCGTCCTCGTGTCCAAGAGAAAACAGTTCCATGTCCCGCATTCCATCGTGATCGAATCTGGCAATGTCAACGAATCCATCGAGCACGTTGATTCCTGCTTTGAAAACGAATGAAACGAAAATGATATTCGCCCGTTGCGGACCGATCGTGCTCTCGACCGAAGTCCGGACGACGAATCCTACTGAATCCTAGGCCGATATATTTGACGACGCATTTACCTGCGTTCGACGACGTCGATTGTCTTCTGCGTCGATTAGAAACAATGTTGGACGCCTTTCGAACGTATTCCGTGATCTCTCGATCGATCTTCGCGAGCTCATCTTCGTTCAACGAACTTTTCGAACCTGCTGCAGAAAGTTTTACGAAAACCCGAATAAAATACGAACGCTTACTATTCGATTTTGCATTACTATCATCATCGTCGTCGTCGTCGTCGTCGTCGTCGTCGTCGTCGTCGTCGTCGTCGTCGTCGTCGTCATCGTCGTCGTCTCTCTGTCGCCTCTGTTTATGTTTCTCACCGTAGTTCGATTTGATTTCCTCAAAAAAGTTAAACGCCCCATCCAAATCGCTGTTCAAATCCTTTCTGTATCTCGCACGCGCGTCGCATTTTATGCCAGCGACGAGTATCCAGATGAACAGGAACGATTCGCGTATCATGTTCATTCGCCAGATTCATTCGTGACTGACACCGATCAGCGACACGAACGTCGCCTCAGCGAAAATTCTCCGTGTTTGTACACACTTTTTTTTTTCTTTCGACACTCTCCGAAATCGGATCGAATTTATATCGAGCGATGTTCGAGCATCGTTGATACTCACGCGAGGACAATCTACGGAGTAAATTGAAAACGAAAGGAAAAATGAGACAGAAAGTAAACCTTGAGAGAAGTTTATTCATCTGACCGTAGCGTAACGTAACAATTCATTGGTGAGGAATTGGCCCGGCATGTAAGGAGCCGACGGTCCGAGAACGTCCTGCGTAGGACTGTAAACTTTAATTTGCCTCATATGCGTGTCCCGCCCGTTTTGATGATTGCTCGTCACGGCTATTTGGATCATGAACGTCCTCACAGGCTTCTCGTTCAGATCCTTTATGGGGATCACGACCCAGCCGCTCGGTTCGTTCAGATCCATCACTTCTATTTCTTGAAGGTCATTGAAATTGGTACCGGCTCTTATGCTTATTCTGAAAAGAACGTACCATGATCATCGCCATCAATTGTCCTATGTATACGTGCGTAAATAATCATCGTGTCGATACGTAAACATATCGTGTTTCTCAAACCTGCTAGGCGTGTAACTTTCGTCCAGTTTGTAATCAGTGTATATGCATATGTCTCGTATAGTCGTTTTCCTCTTGAACTGGATGTTGACCAAGTGGGGAAGCTGGCCATCGGATTGCCAATAAGTCTCGGTTATATCGTCCCTCAGTTGGTCAACACCGAATCCCGGTTTACAACTGGACAAACTCCAAATCGCGTGATTTCCAACTTCCCGCACACGTCCTGCCAATTCTTCCTGCACAGGATCTATCTCTCCTAGCCAGTAGAAAATCAGACATTATCAGTAACTACAAACTTCTCCACGAATGCCTCCCCCTTCAAACGACTACCAACGCCAACGTTTTACCTGCGCTACTACCATTTTTGTTGCTCATAGTTCTATCGCGAGAATGCCATCGCCATCGAAACCAGTTAAACACTGATGCGAGGATTCACAATTTCAATTTTTCAATACACGAACTCGTCGTCGTGCATCTCTACCGCATCCGCCAAAATACGCCAAATGCCAAAACAACGCCCCCCCCCCAGTCTTCACCCAACTCCAGTGTTCCAGTAGCGATATCTAATGTGACAAGACCGTGGTGTGGTGGTAGGCGTGCTAGCGAGTGTAGTGACTCTCCAGCAGAGAGCATGCGGGATTGCTGGGAATTGGGATCATTGGGATTTCCTTGCCTTATGGATTGCCTGCTGGTTGCTGCTGCGTGATATTAATTGATAATGGGAAATTTGATCGCAGTCCGAACAAAATTTTTCTTAACGAGTAAAAGAAACATTCTGTAGAGTGTACACATATCCCAAATTTTGGTGTTGGTGGTCGGGGTTTGAGGTTGGTGATCAACCTGTCAAGTAGTACATACAGTGGAAAGTCGCGAACCAGGCGAAATGGATCAAATAAAGATCCCCAAGGTATTCGAAGACAAATGCCCTTTCGTCTGTGTCTAATCGGATTAATGAAAAGTCGCAAACACGCAATTCATTTTCGGTTTCACGGACGTTATGACGTATCTGTACTAACCTAAATGAACAGTTTCCCGCGGCGGTGTTACCTACGTCGGTTGCCAATGAAATGAATGAAATTTCAGGTGGAAAACGTTAGGATCTTAGATAAATACAGTAACAATCATTTGATCGGTACGCTCTTTTTAACCGTGACGCATCTGGTATTCACCGAAAGAAGCGGAAAGAAAAAGATCTGGGTTTGCAAACGAACGCTGTTACGCTGAACGTAGCCCGCGTCGTATCCCCAAGTATTTGTATCGCTTTTGTATTCCAGGTGTTGTACACCCATATAGCGAGTATAGAAAAGCAACCGTTAACAACGACAGGTTCCCCGTTGTGTATCAAGTGCAAGCATTTTTTTATCGCGACATTCGTAATTCCTAAAGAGAGAGATTGCCATGACATATACCTTACTTTGACAAAGTTATCTTGCCCAGGTAGACAACACTGTTTCAACACGTATACGTATTCTTTAACCAGCGAGAAAAGAACAGCTAAGTGACTAATTTCCATTTCTCTTCCTCTGTCCTCAGCAAGCCTGAAAGATCTTTACTGTTTCAAGTATCAGGCGAGCAAGGACACTTTGCCGCAGCATGCAGGATGGAATTTTTTCAATGTGCAAAGCGAATTTCAAAGGCAAGGCGTCCCGAACGAAGATTGGTCATTGACGTATTTGAATACAAATTACGAGGTAACGTTCGCTAACAATGTTCATCGTTAATTGTTATCGCTAACGCGGTTCAAAGATGGGTGGGGATCGATCCACGCGATTCGATTGACCGACTGATTTTCAGCTTTGCGACACTTATCCAAAGTACCTGTACGTGCCTAGCACGAGTACCAATGGCGTTTTAGTGGGCAGCGCAAAATTTCGAAGTAGAGGAAGACTACCGGTTCTGACGTATCTCCATTCGAACAAGGTACGGTGTCCCCGCGATTACCCCGGATTGTTGCCGAATCATGGATTGCGCTGATTCATTTTACAGGCTGCTATCTGCCGATGCAGCCAGCCGTTGTCGGGATTCAGTGCACGATGCCCCGAGGATGAACAAATGATGTACAATATCTTACGTACAAATAGCAACTCGAAATATATGTACGTTGTAGATACACGACCGCGCGTAAGTCTATGAAACACGTTCATCATCGATGATCTACCGAAATTGCTAACCGTAACTAATAAGTAAATAGTATCTATCTCGCGGATATAAATGTGCCATTGTTGTTGTTGTTGTTGTTGTTCTTATTCGACGACGACAACGACGAAGAGTACAACTTTGGTTAACTTGGCTTGTTTAGATAAACGCTTTCGCCAACAAAGCCGCGGGAAAAGGTTACGAGAACGAGAACTTTTACGATAACATAAAATTCCACTTCTTTGGCATTGAAAATATTCACGTGATGAGAACAAGCTTGAACAAATTGATAGAACGTAAGGATACATTTGTCGTTGCATCGTCCAAAGTTCTCCTCCCCAATTAGTCCTGAATCCTTTCCGATTCCTACACGTCGATCCACCTACACGATTACCTATATTTCCGTATGTACGTATCTTTAGTTCAAAGGACGACGTCGATCAGTGCATTTCTAACCGGTCTGGAGAGTAGCGGATGGTTGAAACACATACGATCCATTTTGGAGACTGCTTGGTTCATCGCCAGAGCGGTGTCGAACGGAGTCAGCGTGGTGGTACATTGCAGCGACGGTTGGGATCGTACCGCTCAAGTGTGCTCGCTGAGCGCTTTGTTATTGGACCCGTTTTACAGGACGATCCAAGGATTCCAAGTAAGAATCGATCCCGCGACGTTCTTGGCCTACTTTACATATATCCACTACGAGTATGCGTTACAATGCGTTTTTCGTGTTCGTTCGATTCTGGTGGCTCACAGGCACTGATCGAGAAAGACTGGTTGTCGTTCGGGCACAAATTTAGCGATCGCTGCGGCCACGTGAGTTCCGACAGTAAAGAGCTGGCGCCAATTTTTACCCAGTTCGTAGACGCAACGTACCAGCTGTTGCAACAATATCCCCACAAGTTCCAATTCAACGAATTGTTTCTATTGACTCTTCACGATCACGTGCACAGTTGCGAGCATGGCACTTTTATCGGAAACTCGGAGAAAGAAAGACAGATGCTCAGGTATTTAGACGTGCGTGCGCGAGCGCGTGCTCTTATTGCTTATTGTTTACCAGCTATCACGATGGTTTCTCCTGGTCAGGTATACCTGCTAACATTGGATTCGTCGCGACTCGTTTCAGGGTATCGGAAAAGACGTATTCTCTGTGGGGACACATAGCGAACAATATGCACGAATATATAAATCCTCTGTTCAAATGCAATCGTTTCGACTCGGAGCAGGAGGCCGTTCTTCGACCTAAATTGGCACCGCAGTGCATAAAGTAAAGCGACGCGTTCAACGCCCTTTGTTCTGTCGCGCGAAATCGGCAGTCCAGTACGGAACAGTGAAACGAAGATTTTTTCTTTCAGTTTATGGCGGGGCATGTATTTTCGCTTCGAGAACGGTATACATCCGAGAGAAACGTACGAAGATTTCATTCTGGTGATGCACGACCATACCAGTTGCCTGGAAGATCACGTAAAACTTCTCGTAAAGGCACGTATATCTATCTAGTTTCTGTTTCTTCCGCCTATTTGTTCATTCTTCGCCCCGACGACGTTTCTTCGTCGATGTTCTTTCTTAGATTCTTTCAATTGTTGTTGTGTACAGAGAGTCAATTCACTGAATTCCATGTTGAATTTAAACAACATGCTGCAGCAGCAGAAGAAGGGTGTGCAGGGGAAATTGTTGAAGTTCGATTCGAACAAATTCAATGAGGACTCGTTGTCTGAGCGAACGCTCATAGAAAATTCGACGAATCACGGGGAGAGGAGCAAGTGCAAAATAAAGATCAGTCAACTAGAGAACGAACTGAAAACGGTCGCGTTAGACTGGAAATTGTTACGGAACATAGAGGAATGCGCGTGTTCGACCACGTTCGACGCGTTTAACGGGAAGGTGAGTTTGACGGACCCTCTCTCCGTGCGAGCAGGTGCTTATTTTTCTTTTTTTTCTGCATTCCAGCATCACTGTTGGTCGTGCGGACAGGTGCTGTGTACGAGATGCATGGGTGCACACACCGTTCTCGCTGGACACCATTCCCAGCGCGCCGTCCCTACCTGTAAGTCATGTCTTCCACAGAATTCCACTGTTCCTTCTACTAGTCCTTGAATTTCCGTATTTTCGTACTCCTTCGTGAACGACAACTGAACGTACGCGAGATGTACTCGAGATTCGCGTATAACGCGAGTGTCTGTCTACGACGTTCACGTGCCACGTAACCACGGGGGCTGGTAATTTTCAACAACAGTTGTCTCTCTCTCTCTCTCTCTCTCTCTCGCTCGCTCGCTCGCTGAGTTGAATCAGTTGATACGAAGGGGATTATATGTGTTTTATATCTTTCTTTTTCATTTTATACTATATACATAGATAGCTCGCTCGAGTCAAAGCACGTCCCGGAGCAAACGATACATTACAGGCACGTAACAGACTGCTACGAATAAAAAAACACCTTGATTTCAATGGTCAAATAGCGATATTATATAATGATAGTAGTAATAGCAGCAGCAGCAGCAGTAGCAGTAGCAGCAATAACGACAACAATAATATTCTATACGTTTCAATATACGATGGTCCGCGACGAGACTGCTTCGACGACGTTAAGCGAATTTTTCGTTCCTTTAGTTTGTCTATGAGAATTTCAACAAGAATGAAAATCATGAGATAAGAGTACGAACGAGAAGAGATTTTTCACACAATGTACCCGTTTAATTAAACGTATACAAATGTGTCTGTAGCGGACATATGTATCGTTACATAGGTATGTTGAAAAGTTTCTTGGAAACTCAATGGTTATAAATAATACGATATATCGTACGGTACCTGACATTATCTCATTCACAATGTAGTACACTTTATTAAGACAAAGATTAAGAAACACATTGCTTAAAAAGTATCGTAGATATTTCGGTGGTTCGACGATATCACGAATGCTCATGGAATAATAACTAATAACTGTAACGTGTAACAAGTTCTATACGGTGTGACACGTTCAAGAGTATCGTACGCGACATGACTCACAAACTGTCTAAGGAAAAAGAATAATCCGTTGTTGTACAGAAACGTTGTGAATAAATCTATTCTATTCGGTTCACTCTTTTTCTAAATATACAGTAGTAATAGTAACAAAAGTTACCGAATCACGCTACATATTACAATTAAGGCATAAATAGTCGACACCGAACATCATTCTTACAGCATAGTCTTTCAAAGTATTTATATCATTCGTTCGTGTGTGAAAAGAACAGGCTTAAAAGTGTGAAATTCAGTTTGCTCGAAATATATGACGCACGATGGAACGTTATTACACTTAGCGGGATGAAACCGTAAATGCCACGTCCCGCCCTCTCTCCCTTCCACATCCACCTCCGTGCGTTAACTTTCGGCTTTAGCTTTATGTTCGCGTTTAGGTAGAGATCTGGTCTTATGTCGTGAAGAGTCGTAACGCGTCCGCGATAGCGAATCGATAGTGTCTTTTTAAATGGAATGCGCGCGAGTGTTGCATAAATATCTTGATACGAATTCGGTTTCGTTTAATTCGAATTCTACTCTATTCTTTATTTGGTTTTCTTCGTCGCGGTCCGTCGCCACCCATCGCAGGCTTGTCCTGAAAGCAAAACGGGTGCACACGTGATGACGAGTTTTCTGAGAACGAGAGACTGTCCACGAATAATTTTACTAACGTTCTCTTCGCTTTCTATCAGTTGTTCGGTTTCTTCCACCTTTTCGACGGCGATTTCTTCCTCCGATTCCGTACCGGCCGTCGGCGGCGGCGACGGCGACGGTGGCGACGACGGATCGTTTTCACTTTCCTCTTGCTTCGGTGTCCGCGTTGGCTCGTCCGCGTTCGACTCTAAATGGTGTTTATCTTCGTCCTTCGAGTCGTATTTATCCTAAAGAAATCAATGGACCTGAACGCGCTCCTTTTCTCCGGGTTAAATTAATAAATCGTGTGTCTAGGCAATCGCGTCGGATGTGCACAGATGAGCATATCTTACCGTTACGCGTGGATATGCGAAGAGCGATACGGGGGCTCTTAACGTAGTACCGTAGCAAATATATGTATGTATTTTTATACCTGAGAAGCGAAGCAGCAACAATATATTACTAGCAGTATGGGTAAACCAGCAGCTATTATATATATGGCCCATATCCAAGGATGTTCCGCGGTAAACGTGCCGATCTGACGCCATACACTCCACTGTATGAAATAACGATTAAAAGAATTACACGTTGTGCCATATGATATTGTACAAGGTAGAGACAACGACAGGCCTCGCACGTTTAATCATTCATCCTACATTTGCATCCAATGCTACTATATTCAAGTTTCAAGTTGGAAAAGGATCCTACGATCGAACAGCCGCTACACGCACATACGTATACGGGAAACACGCAGGCATGTTACTGTGTCCGACCGTTACGAAAAGCCAACTGTCTGCGCGTGTGAGCAAATATGATGGATAATCGCGTACCTCGCGAACTCGTTTCAGTAGGTACCAAACGTACAATACGACCGGTATCGCGCAATACACGAAATACAACGCCCACCAGCCTGGTCTATAATTGGTCGCTTTTAATATGCGGCCCCATAAAGTTACCTGCACGTCACACACAGTGTGTACAATATGTCTATACATATACGTGTATAAAAATTACACTCTTTTCACGGATTCCGCGAAGAATAGGTCACAGGTCAGGTTATCTAATTCGATTGGAAAGAACGTAATCGACGACGGCGGTAAACGGTTCGGCAACGTACAATTGGAACACTGTACTTACGCTTTCCTCGGCGATTCTAGCTCGACGCACTTCGAACGTGTCGTCTGCCCATTTTTTCGCCACCCGTTCGTCATCGGTAACGAGTATATTGTCAAAGAGTATATCCGGGGACATGGACCAAAGTTCGAAACCGACTGCGAACTGGAAAAACAATTCTAGCTGATGAACATGTCGACGATGAACGAATACGTAGAGAGGAGGAGGAGGAGGAGGAGGTGGTGGTGATGAAGGATCCAGCGAAACGTACGATGGGCGTCATCTGGAACGGGTGTTCATCGTTGAAGTAATTAGGATTGTGTATCAGCCTCGGCTTCCATTTTCCCTTGAAATTGGGATTGTTGATCAACGGTGGCGACCATTTACCCTTGTATCGCGGGTTCTTCTTCATCTTTTGCTTGTACGGTCCGCAGCCCGGCACATCGGCACACTTCGGGTTCGGTATTTCAGGTGGTTCCCATTCCCCGTCCATATCGACGTCCCAATCGTCGGGTTTGACCGCGTCGGTGTTCGGAATCACCGGCGGTTCGTCCTCCAGCCATCCGTCCGGCATAACGTCGTCTTCGTCGACGATCTGAGCCGGGGCATCCTCGTCCCAATCGTCAGGCTTGACGGCCGACAGATCCGGGATCTTTTCCCTGTCGTCCCAGTCGTCCGGCTGTGCGTCGTTCGGATCCTCGATCTCCAACGGCGGATTCACGGGTGGATCGAAATCGTCCAACAGAGAACCAGAATTCACCAATTTATTGTCGATCTTTATCTCGAAGCTGTTGTCGGGACGTACGATCAGGGTGTACAAGTGAGGCTGCTTGTCCTTGAACAATTCTTCCAAACGCTCCTTTGGCTTTTTACAATGTTTCTCCTCCATAGAACCGTTCAACGGGTTCTTGTGTCTGAAGATAAACCGAAGATAGTGAGAGTTTCCGCATTTGTCTGGACCGAACATTATCGTATAAGGGGTTCGGTCGTGGAACTGGTTCAGTTCCTGGTGCTCCGCATCCAAACTGAGAAGTTTCATATAGGCGCCACCGCATTCTTGACCCTCTTGAAAATTAACTTCGTACTGCACGATCAATGGCTTCTCCTTAAAGTGAAACGGCTCGGACAGCAGGGTGGACAGGGCAGCGTGTCTAGCTTTGCTCTTGAGCACCAGGCCCAGGTCTCCGTCCTGTGCATGCTTCTTCGGTTCTTCCACGGACCAAATTCCTGTAATGCCAAACGGACACACAGGTTAACATATTGCGTCAGGCGGTGTTGTTCGATGTTCGTCGATCACGCAAAGAATCATTGTATATGTATATTAAACATGATAAGGCATCGCGCGGAGCAGATCGAAACAAACCATCGTATTTGGCTATGTCATCGTCCGTCGAATCTTTCTTGGCTTCGGAGAGGACCCACGTCTTCTTGAATTTTTCTTCGTCGTCGAACGTCTCCACCAAATACGCGAAACCGGAAATTTCGGCCGTTTTATAAACTGTCCCTCCTTTTACACCTTCGACAACGTTATTCTCATCGGCATTCTTATTACCGCTAATAATGTTACAGATCAGACACAAATAAACGATTAGTTTCGCTACAAGTCTGGCCATCTCATATTCCTGGAAATAAATTAATAACACGAGGATTGATATCCGGGACGGATACGGTTGATCGCTGGCCGAAACGAGACAACGCGAGAGACTAGCGACGTGACGAAATCTTTTCGACCAAAACAGTACCAGGAAATCAAAGTCAGCTCCTGCTTGTCCTCACTCACTGCTGCTACTGCTGCTGCTGCTGCTGCTTACCGAAACTTCAGCCGTCGACGAGCATCGATTCCTCGACAACGAGTGGACAATTCTAAAGTGAGATCACGCCGCCCGCGTTCGATCGCGTCCTCGTCGCACCGGGCACAGTTTTATAATTAAATAATAATAGTAATTCGATTACGCGAGGAGGAAGTGTCCCCAAAAACGAAAACGAGGAGGCGGCGGCTGCGGCGGCGACGACGACGACGGACAACGGAAAACGGAACGTTACGCCTAATCAAATTAATTGGATTAGATGTTCAAACAGCAAAATCTCGTGACTGACGGTGGCGGCGGCCGATTGAAACGAAGGAACCGAACGAACCTAGAACCGAATAGTCGAACAACGACGAATCCTCGGTCAAAATCGGATTCGAATCGAACACGGTCACAGTTCGACAGAGAACTTAAATACTGGTAATATATTTTTTTAACCAAGTTTAATTTAGTTAATTCAGAGGGAGAGCCATCTACTACGTATCTGTGGCAGCAGCGTAGCAGCAGCAGCAGCAGCAGCAGCAGCAGCAGCGCAGATAGAACAAGATAGAAAGAAAACGAAACATGGCCGATATGTATTTTGTTTGCGCTGCTATTACGCGCGGTACCGAGTTATTTAATTAATTTTTCGATGTAATTACGCGTATCGTTTCACGGTCTTGATCTCGGTCTGCGGTCCAGACCGCAGAGAGAAGAATGAACGCTACGAGCCTTTACGTCTCAACGTGTCGGTTAGTTCTACAAGCGGACGCCGACGATCCAAACTCGTGGACAGATCTGTACAGGCTAGTTCCGTATTTACGACAGAGTTTGAGTTGCACCGTGTGCTCGAATTTGTTAATCGAACCTCACACACCGACCGAAACGAACTGTCAACATCACGTGTGCCGTGGTTGCAGGGGTGGACGGAAAAAACTGAAACCCTCGTGCGGTTGGTGCAAGGATTACGACAAATACGTCGAGAACGTGCAATTACGAATACTCTTACAGTGTTACAAAAAGTTGTGTGAATATTTGACGAACACGAACATTTACCGAAGTTTGATACTTTCAGTGTCCTCCTCTAACAAGACAGGTAACAACAATGCGACGGCGGCAGCGGCGTCGACGGCAATCGGTGCCAGCAGCAGCCTCATGGAACTTGTCCAAGAGGGTTCCGGCTTCAAAGACGAGTTTAAGAGTACTGCCGGTTTGTCAAAATCGGCATATAGCATCCTACCCTGTGTTTATACCAGCACTACCTCTACTCAGACTCAAGGAAATGTTATTCAAAACTCCGAAGCTGTGTCCCAGCAGAGTATATCTGGTACAGTAGTGTTCAGTCTTCAGATAAATTTGTATCGTAGCCGCCCCTTTCCCATCCCCGCACGCACTCATGTCCTCCGTACCCTGATCAAGTATAGATGCTTCCAACAATCATCGATTCAAACAGTTCAAATTTCACACTCGATCATTACTCTCGCTCATCGTTCGTTCACATATATAGTATATGGTTCGTTGCATTGCTCAGAATCACCTGCCGCCATACGTACGGTATCCAATGGATCCTCGATATATTCGGTGATGTATGCTGGATCCGGTAATAAAATAACGATAAAGAGGAAATCAGCAGCTGTGGACGACGCAGAAGTTGGACAGACTCAACAACAGCTGCAGGATATCGATGGAAATCCACACGGCTCTGTAGGAGGGGTAAAATGTATTCCATCTTCCCACCTTAAATATGGGACTCCCTCTAAGAAAAAATCTTCAAAGGGCAGCAAAGTAATTTCAATAGATACTCGATTAATCTTACGCCTTATGCGGCTTAGGGGATCGCGTCGCCCGATAATACTTGATTCAAGTGTTTGAACCGATTCGCGTACTCGACGCACGCGTCGTACCGTCTCTAGATTTGCATAACGTTCAACGGTACGCGTGCATTGACATTTACAGATACCTATATTTGCACTACTACTACTACTACTACTACTACTACTACTACCACTACAACACAGCAACAATAACAGCAACTCTGTCATTGCTACTAACATCAGACACCATTGAAATGAGTAACGGTGAAACGATCAATGATAAACGATTTGCTAGGTCCCATACAAAGATTAATGCAGATGTCATTCTATCGCGTCGCGTATGTCCACGCGCCGCATACATTTTACACGTATCTGCATTGATCTACGATCCTCGTGTTACTTTCATTTTGTTAGTACAACGTAACTGCGACTAACAGCGTCTGTTTGGTTTCCGCGTGCAGTCGTCTGCTTTCAAAAAGCCAAGATCCAGCTCTACTCGAGGTAAAAGGAAAGGCTGTAGATGTGGTAATGCTACAGCGATACCGGGAAAGTTGACTTGTTGCGGTCAACGATGTCCCTGCTACGTCGAGAGCAAACCTTGCGTCGAGTGCAGATGCAGAGGTTGCAGAAATCCGCACACGGCGGATGGTTTGAAGGTACGTTTCCGGACGGGGCCACACCACCATTCATTTCGCCTTCACTTTCGCACTTACGCTTAGCTGAACGACAACGATCGACGCGTCCACGTTCTTCGTCTACGTTTTTGCTCGCTACGTTCCAGATTCGTCCGCACATACCCGAGTTACATAATTTACAATTGCAACTGTCGACTTCTTTGGATTGCGGCGCACTAAATTCGGATCCCTTGGGATCCGTACCTCAGTGTCTTTCGACTTCTCCGACAACGATTCAAGTATTAAACGTTTATTCGACGCCGAGGTTGGAGATCGACAACGTGCCGCAAAGTCTGCCGGCTGCCTTGTTGGTGGGAGAAGATGCTATGATCAGTACCGAGAGCGAAGCCGAGGACAGCGATATACAGATCGACGTGTGACGCTTCGATATCGACCGATTCTCCTGTACCATTAATAATAATAACACGTGTAAATAATAAAGGATTTACTAATTTTGCAGTCGAATCGAGTTTTTTTCAGAAGAACTATAGTATATATAGTACGTAGTACTACTACTCTCTCCCTCTCTCTCTCTCTCTCTCTGTAATGCTTTCCATATTCTCATCACTATTCGGATCTAAGTATTCGATTACCCCATTACCTCCAAGCTGCGCAAAACTGGTATGGACTCTCGTGGCGGCAGGTATAGTGCGCGATTGCAAGTTTTAAGAATTACGGTTCATAGATAACGGGAGACGGATGATACGTTTCCGTCGGATTGGCCGCCGGGCGTCGAGTCCGCATTGATCGGCTCTCATTGTTAGTCCGTTAATCTACCTGTTGGCGATTGCGAGAAATGGGATACGATGAAAACAGCGCGCTGCGCTATCGCCGCTATCGGTTGAATCCGGCGACAGCGATGCGTCGTATTATATACATACGCATACGCGCGCATACACGAACGAAAATGAAACTGATCTAGTGGGCTAGTTGAACGACGAACAAATGTCGAAGCCTCTGGTCGAAGCAAGCACGATCAACTGGGGATTTTCGTGTTACGTCAACACTTGTTAAAGTCATTACAAATCGAATTATCGTCGAAGCGGTTTGGTGTTCGATTTTTTGAAAACTTATTCTCCGTGTTACGTGCCGTGGTCGGGTGATTTAGGGCAAAAACTGGTAAGACTACGTAGGACGCGCATACACGGGAACAGTGTCGAATAGAAGATGTCCGGTGATATTCAAGCGAGGAAGCGAAAAGAGAAGAAACGCAAAAAAGGTAAAACAGAAGAAGAAGAGAAAATAGGCTACTGAAAGTGCCTAGAGAATCATTATAATTGGGTCCCCGTTGTATTTAGTAACGAAGCTCAACGCTTTCAATTAATCGTAAAAATAATCGCGAACAATCGAGCACAGAATTTCACGCGCTGCTATCCACGACGTAACAGCAGATTTTCCATTCCCGAATACGCCAAGAGATCGTTTTCGACTTGGATTTTCTCGACGAAGATACCGATGTGTCACACGCGAAACAGATCCATTTATTCAATTTCCAATATTTCAATATTATATAACGTATTTAAAACCGTCTACTCGATATATGTAGATGCGTCGTGATGTGCACAACGCGCGCCCGTAAGTATACGAGCGCAATATTTTACCGCATCTTATCATCCGTTATTTTTTTGACACGATGGCATGGCCCATTGTTCATTAAATATTTACCCGTATCTCGTAGTATCGTTCGTAATTGTAAATTGGATTGCGGCCCGCAGTGGACGAGCCTTACGGAACGACGTTTGAAACACTGAATAATAACATTCGTCCGAGTTTATTTCTGTTCCGATATACCCCATCATCGTTATACAATACCTGTTGGCCAGTACTTGTTAAAAGTAAAAGTAAAAAAGAAGTACGAGTCGCGCGAATCAGCTGCATACGTGCATACCATCAAGAAGAATGATATCGAATCCAAGCTAATAACGCGAAACGCATTAGTTACACGGTACGTGCCACCGCGTGAAACGTGTCGGATATGTTCAAAATGTTCATACTGCGTTGCAAAAGGTTTTTTAGTACAATGGTATAGCAGCGATTATAGCGGATATTCCCGGCGGAAGTGTAATTGGCAGTGTGTCGCTGAAATTAGAAAATTACAGGGTTTTAGAAGCACGAGCAGTTTTTGGCCATTCAAAAATAGACCAGCAGCTTGGTATTATTCAGTGTAAAAACATTTTCCGTGGATTTATTTATACGCGTTTTACATGTTTCCAAGCGACTTGGTTCACATTTACTTACCTACCACGACGCAGCCGCCACCGCCACAACGATTGACAGTCGATTCTCGACAGACGACAGACGGTAGACGATACGCGAAATACAAGCACTAGCGAGAAGCTCGCTCGTTCGTATCCTAGCTAGCTTACATATGTATATACGTCGTATCATATTTAGATGAAGAGGACAACGTTACACCGGCACCCCCACCGGCAACCGTCAATGAAAATTCACCACCGGACAACGTTAACATACATATTTACAAAGAAAGCAGCACGGGTGGACATTGGTGCGCGCGAATCGTATTCTTTACCGTACTGACGGCGCTCGTCGGATTGATAGGAGTAATTATCATCGAGCACAGAGGTACTACGGACGGTGAGTGTGGCGATCAGATGGCGTACGCCTATTCTTATATCGGATCGCTACACACTCTTTCTATGTTCTCAGTGAATACGCCATTGGAATCGTCTCGGTGGGCCTACATCTTCGAAGGATGGGTAGACGATTCTTTATCCTTGTCGGATGAAGAACATCGCAGCGAACGCGAGGAAACGAAACAAGTGGAAGATGAGGCCAGACGCGACGATGATACCATTGAAGAAGCCGAGGTTTCGGCCGAAGAGCAGGAGGAAAATGCGGGAAAAACGCAGGAAGCGTTAGAGGAGAATGCGTCGAACGAGGGAGATGAAGACTTCCAAAGCAAAGAAGGTAATAGATTGGTTCGGCGATTCGTTTAAATTGAACAGCATTTAAAATTGTTCGTTCCGTTCGACAGAAGATGTCGACCGCGCACGGTCCAGCCACGAGGAGGAGGAGGAGGAGGAGGAGGAAGAAGAAGAAGAAGAAGAAGAAAAACAAGGCGAAGACGACGACGACGACGGCGAAGAAGAAGAAGAAGAAGAAGAAGAAAAGGTAGACAGGCGAGACGAAGACGACGACGACGACGACGACGACGACGACGACGACGACGAAGAAGTAGAGGAAGGAGAAGAGAAAGAGGAGAAAATTGTATTGGAAGCCGACGAAGTCGACGACGTATTAGAAGAAATCGTATCTGGTATCGAAAAAGAAAAAAACTTGGACGAGGAGGAGAGTGTTTCGTACGAATCGACGGACGACGATCCATTCGACCGAGTATCGGAAAACGATGGAGATGCGTTTGAGAACACGTTTCTAGACATTCCCGGTGCGAATGAAATTCAGAATGAGAATATCGAACCTTTGGAAGAGGTAAAATGAACATGAGATCAGTTATAACTTTGTTTGCGCGTGTCGGGCATCGAATTGAACTTGTTTCGAAATAATTGTTGAAAAAGAACACACGCGTATCGACGTTACCACCCGCGGTGGTATTGATAGACTGTAGTACGACCACGATTATATCGTCGCCCAACTATTTTTCTCGTATCAGGTAGAAACCGCCGAACCCGAAGAAGACTTTGACGATGCAGACGTAAAACCAATTATGGAAGAGATAGACGAAGACGAAGAGTCTGGCAGCGGTGAGTGAACAGCAAACAAAATAGAAAACCTTTTTTTAACATAACGTCGAAAGGCGATCCTCCATGCTCGTACAAATTTATTACATTTTGGCACATACGTATACGTAAATCTACGTATGTATAGTATATATCACGCGAATAACTGATCACGTTTACGTAACACTCTTTTGAATACCTCACATGTTTCATTGTCATTTTCAAGCTCAGCAATGAGAAATAACGTCTGATGGTTACAGTGGCGATGAAGTTCGGAGTCGGTGCGGCACTTGTTATAGCTGCACATATCGTCCTCGCGAAACGATGGAACAACGGTAAAAAACCTTTGTTTTACGATGTGTGATTGTAACTATACCATGATACACCCGATCGATTTCAATTGAATCCGAACCGAACAATTAGTTCGATCGTTCGATGCTTCACATATATGCGGTACAGTATACCACGGGGTGACCCACCACGATAGACGGGTCAGTTTGTGGTGGTGGTGGTGGTGGTGGTGGTGGTGGTGCTAGTGGTGGGTAACAAACATCCGAACGAATAGATTCGAGCCTAAAAAAACAAATTCGAAATAGTAACTATGCAGTACCTATATACATATACCCATGCGCTACGTTCATATTACACTTCCAAGGTCTGCTGCCGCGTATGTATTAATAATGTACTTTTGTTCGTGTTTAGAAGATATCTTTGTTCAGGATCAAGCTAAATTAATCTCGGAAACTGAAACGCAAAAGGTGGAAGAACGAATCGTGCATTCCACGTTCCCACGAGAAAAAATGGTTAAAATGGGAAAATATGATTCGGAACGAAAAGACAAAAACGAGACGGAGGAATTGAACGAGAGCGGGCGTAAACAAGCTGACGGGGACGAACATGGTAACGAGGCGCGAGACGACGAGCAAGACGAGTGGGAAGAAGGAGAAGACGAAGACGAAGGCGAAGAGGAAGAGGAAGTAGAAGTGGAAGTGGAAGAGGAAGAGGAAGACGAAGACGAAGACGAAGAAGAAACGGAAATAGAGAGGGAGGAAGAAACTCGGAAAGTGCAATGGGATGGGAAAAAGGAAAGCGAAACGAGACGAAAAGACCGAATAGGGACGGAAGACAAGGACGATAGTTCGGGAGAAGAAAATACCGAGGAGGAGGAAGAGGAAGCAGAGGACGAAGAAATCGAAGATTTCGATGACTCCGAACTTATCGCAAAGCTCGAAGCAAAATATGGAAGATTGGATAGCGTGCAAGACGATAACGAAGAACGGCGGCGGCGACGGCAGCGGGAAACTGTGAAAATGCAAAGGAGAATTTAACGATCACACGTTCGATGCGATCTATACTACGCGCAGCATAGACGCATAGGTAATGGGAAATACTAGAATCTGATTTCATGCATGATCGCATTGTACTCGATAATCGCGCGCACATCGTGCCCGACGATTACCTCTGTAAAAACAAAAATAAAACTAAGCGATGAAAAAATAATGCTCGTTTCGCCGATTCGAGACGGACCAAACAGCAGTAACCAATCGTTGCAATAAAATGAGCGTCTTATTTACTTTTTATACGTAATATAAAAATTAAATAACGTTTAACGAGCATGGAGGATTCGTAAATAGTCTCGTAGAGAGAGAGAGAGAGAAGCTGGTTCACACACCTATACACACGAAGTGAACATTTGTACCGTTTGATTTACGTCTGCCGACGATACTCGGTAAGTGTTCGCGATGTCCATCTCGATGAAATTCGGACGGGTTCGTAAAGCGAGTACAATTATGATGCGAACGATAATATAATAAGACATTTGTCCATTCGCGTCCATTTTAGACAACAACGGACGACGCGGCGTTCAACGCGCGCGGATGCTTTTAAAATTAATTCGATCGTGTGAACGGTGGAACGTTTCCCAGCGAAATTCTGTATAGCTAAACGCTAAAAAAGTGTAGCAATAAAAGAGAATAAAAGAAAAAAGAGATATGTAACCTGAACGCAGACCTTCCCGCATTTATCCGCATCCACAACGAATGAGCGCGAACATTTGAATAAAAAAGATGGTGCATTGATCAGTCGCAGGCCGTGTGAAGTTGGAAGATCGCTTCGATCGCGAATCGCGAATAGACTCACCGTGGTCGTCGTCGAGAGTCGAAACCGTCGAAACGCGATGAGTATCGAGATCGAGCTGATCGTGCTAGTAAAAGTCAGTAAAAGTCAGTAAAAGTTGGTTAAAATAGTGCAGGAGGAGGTTGTCGAAAAAAAGATCGTTCTATGCGCGGCGCTCGGCTAGCATCGAAAGTGATCGAGGAGGCATGTCACCGCACCGATCTTTCTCCGCGGAAAATGTAAATAACATCTCACAATTCCTATCCGACGGCTCGTCATTTTCTACGTATCTCTACTTACTAAGTATCTCTAATTGACACTGATAACTGGTGTACCGATCGAACTAATAGCACGTAGCTAATAAAAAGAACGCGTGACGTTGAGCGCAGGGTACGCGAGCGTGATAACCCGCGCGCGACCTCCGTACGCTCCGTACCGGGGAGAAGATCGCGTGAGATCAATCGCGATCCGTTCTCTAACCTTCTGCGTTGATCGCAGCAGCAGTAGTACATCCGTGAACGTCCGTTTACCCGTCCGTTCGACGACACGTTCGATCGGCAGAAGCGTCTGCTACAACAAACTCTCGGTAAGAACCATGAAAAGATTGGTCAACGACGTCGATGACGCCGTCACGGAGTCCCTTCACGGCTTGTCTTTCGCATATCCACAATTCGAGTATCAAGTCTCCCACAGAGTCGTTTTGATACCCAAGGTATTTAAATTACATACTGCTACTACTACGACCACTACCATCATCTGCTTAAATAAATAATTGTGCGTATTCGTTCGCGCCGATGCGTACCTACGGGACCTAAATTGTAAATCGACATCTACGTAGGCACGTTTTTGTACGATTAGGATGTTTAGTACGACTTTGAAGTCGTACGGCACATCGTACAATGGGCGGCCCACGTCGAAGCAATCGGCGAGAGGAATACTACGCGACAGCGGCTCGTCGCTTGTTGCGTAACGATATATCCCTATCACTGTTATTAATTGATCGCGCGTTTAAAGATGCGTAGTACATGAACCAGGTGCCTCGATCATCTCACCGGATCCGACCGAATAGAAGGACTAACGATTCGCGCGCGCGCGCGCGCGATTTCTACTTGCGTGTACGAATTGTGTTTCAGCTCGAGGATCGGAAGAAAAAAGTGTCTCTGATATGTGGCGGCGGAAGCGGTCACGAACCATTCGCAGCGGGTAAGTCGAAGGCGGTTTACTTATTGCTATAACGGAGAAAAGACGAGAACGGATGACGGCGATGATTCGAATTTGTCGGCAGGCTACGTTGGACGCGGTATGTTAACCGCTGCTGTGGCAGGTTCGATTTACGCCGCACCACCATCGATGCACATATCGTACGCGATAGACCGTGTCTCCGCACACGATAAGAGTAAGTATCTACATACATTGCATACGTGTACCAAGTATTCGTGCGCGTAGTAACGAAATCTAACGAAATCAACTGAATGTTGGTCGTCGTCGCAACCTTTTTTTCCAGCTGGAATTTTGATGATAGTTCCGAATTATACCGGAGACTGTTTAAACTTTGGAATAGCCGTCGAGCGAGCGAGGCAAGAGGATTTGAACGTAAGTCACGACTATGGACGATATGCCGTGCATCGTTACTGATACACGATATACGATGATATACATGTAGAAGAATTGAAAGTTTACGTACAAATGACCCATCGATTCAGATTGCAGAGATAATCGTGAACGAGGATTGCAGCATACCAAAGGAAAATCTGAGCTTGGCCGGGAAACGTGGTTTGTGCGGAATCGTGTTGATCGTTAAAGTAGCTGGTGCGTTAGCTGAAAACGGCATGCCGCTCGACGAGATCTCCGAGATCGCGCACCGCGTTCTACGAAACATGGCCACCTATTCGGTCGGAATGACCGCCTGCTCGATACCCGGTCAGCGTCGTCGATAAGTGTCATCGTACTATGTATCATACTTGTTGTTGTTGTTGTTGTTGTTGTTGTTGTTGTTGTTAGAACTGAAGTACTATACTGGTAGTAGCATACTGGTATGTGTAGTAGGTACAGGACGAGTCACGCGTCGGTTCACGTGTCGTTTATCATTAGGTCAGCCTCCGATGTTCCAATTGGCGGAGGACGAGATCGAACTTGGAATGGGAGTTCATGGAGAGGCAGGACACGAAAAGAGGAAGATCGCTCCGTCGAGCCAGGTAGTCGCGCTCATGTTGGAACGGATCTGCGGCGCGCTGTCTTTGAAGAGCGGAGACGCGGTCGCGATAATCGTTAACAATTTCGGCGCGTTGAGCCAACTTGAACAGGGAATCGTCGTTCACGACGCGATCAAACATCTCCGTAAGTCTTCGTCGTTTAGTTCTCTACGTATTACTTACCTATTACGAATTATGAAACAGCCCGTAAGGATCAACTGCTGCCGATCCGGATAATTACATACTGTATGTATGGTTACAGGAGGCATGAACGTGCAGCCTCTTCGCGTATACACCGGCCTGTTGATGACGTCGTTGAACAGCGCCGGGGTGCAGATTACCGTTTTAAATTTACCCGAGAGAGACAGGAATCTGTTTCTCAGTTGTTTAGACGCGCCCACCGATGCTCCAAAGTGGCCTGGCTGCGCGTACAGTGTCCCCGACGAAAGCTCGACGACGCGGCAGAAGGTCCGTCAAGATTCTGTGGTGAGAGTCGTCGAGAGGCGGGGAGTCGAGGTCGGTCCGGACATGCAAACTTTGATGCAACGATGCGTGAGGAGCGCTTGCGAAGCTCTCATCCGAGAAGAAGATCGTCTGAACGATCTGGACAGAGGCTGCGGAGACGGGGACACGGGATCGACCCTTAAGAGACTCGCTACAGGTTCCGTGTTATCGTCTGTTTTTATCTAACCGATCCGATTAGCAGCAGCAGCAAATGTTGTCGTCGCGTTGGACAGTCAACGACGACCATCGGCTACCTACCACTCCGTAGTCGATGATCGTCCAGTCGACCGTACTACACGCACTACTATTACGTAGACACATTATTTTTACAGAAGTCCTGAGGAAATTCAACGAGCTTCAGTTTTCGCATCCGTCAGCAGTTTTCTCGGAACTGGCTAACATCGCCGAGGAACGAATGGGTGGCGCATCCGGTGGCCTCTATTGTTTGTACTTGACCAGTTTGAACGCAGAACTGTGCGTGCCCCAAGTTGACGGCGGCTGGCTGAAACTTTGGGCCCAAACGTTGCGCACGAGTTTAGAAATCGTGATGAAATACGGAAAAGCGAAGCCGGGAGATAGATCGATGGTAACTATTGGTAGTGTTAGTACGATCCTATCGGATCGCGTACACTTTGTCCTGTCTGTAGTATATAGTATACAACGATGTTACGTCGGATCGAAAGTGAATATTCGTTCGTTCGTTCGGTCGTAGGTCGACGCGCTTCACGCGTTCAGTGAAACTTTTGAGAAGACATTGGACAAACCGTGGACAGAAATTTGCGATGCGGTGAAAGCAGCAACTTGGCGAGCATGTGAATCGACCAAGAACATGAAAGCCAGGTAAGCCGACCGTTTTTATCGACCGTTATCGATGAACGTTCATTCGTACGGTTCTGTCTACGCATGTATACACAGTTAGTCGTTAGTTAACAGTTTAACGTATCGTATCGTAAATTATGACGAGCATAGGGTAGGACGAGCCAGTTACGTCAGAGAGGAAGAATGTTTCCAAAAGATGGACGCTGGTGCGTACGCGGTCGCAGTCATCGTCGATGCCATAATGAACGAGATTAGAACTGTGTTTTAACTGCGCCGCTTGGAACGAGACGTTTTCGGCTGCGGGATGGAAATTTCGCTGTACTTGGCTATCTCCGTGCAGCAGACACGTGTAAACGTGATGAAACTTTGCTTCGTTTTCGTGTTCTGTAAACGTGAATCTGTGCGATGATAAATAAAATTGGTCCCGAGAGATGAGAACCTACTTTGCCCAGGTCACAACGGTCAACGGATTTACGTCCTTTCGCGGCCCGATTCGAAGGTAAGCAAATGTTGAAAGGAAATTCAGCTCAGCCACGGCTCGAAACGACGAGAAACGGCGACGACGGTGACGAAAGCGTGTAATCGCGCGGTATCGCTGCAAGAAACAGACGGGTACGTACCAGCTTTCACATTGGTGAAAAACGTTCGCGTCGACCGAAGCATAAATAAGGAGACGCGCGCGCCGTCGAGTCGAGCAGGTTAAATTATCTTGGCGATCTCGGCGGCCGCTTGTGTTCGTTGGTCAGCAGGTGTCTCCTAGTACGTCATGTTCAAAACCACAATCGTTTCGCACTTGACATTCTTCCGCGTCTTACAGTTGGTCGTAATTATCATTGTTTGCGTTGCACACGCAAGCGGAATGAAACGCGAACGGATACTTCCATCATCGGGTCCTGAATCTGCGCGTAACGAATTCTCCAAACTATCTCAACAGTTCGGACGAGCGTTTTGTTTTGTCGATGAGAATCGAGTGTGACACGAACACGTACACGTGACGAAAACCGCGCGAAAACATCGCTCGTCCGAGGCTGATCATAAAATATTTTCGTCGCTGTAATTGCTTGTTAAACCACCTCCGCGTTGTTAGATGAGCCCGGAAGATTCAGGAGAAAGTGGAACGATCACGACCACGACCACGACCACGACCACGACCACGGGGAGTCTAGTATATCCGCGATAAGCAAACAACTTTTCCAGTAAGTACATATATGTATAAGTAATAATAACCGGAATACCGTGAGAGATGCATGTCACAAATTTCAAGTTACTTACCATGCTTTACCGACGACGACGACGACGACGATGACGATGACTATAAATTTCCTTCCGCCGCGATTTTCATACGTCGTAAAATTGTGGCGATCTACTCTGATTTCGCAAGGCGAGAACAGTTAACGTCGCAACAACGTTGAATTCATCGCGCGAGTATACAAGACGCGATTCGTCTGTTCCCTTTCCTATTCCTTTTCAACTGAATTTCGCCGTTTCGATCGTTTACATCGGTATTCGATTATCGTTACCTTACTGTACTTGCTCACTGCTTATTAGTATGAAAGTGCCATCCCATCATCCACTTATCCACCACTCATCGTCATCGTCGATCGTTGCCGTCGTCGCATCGCTTATCATTACCCTTGCTCTATCCGCGTCCGTACTTGGTACGATCCCGTCTTCCCGTTGTACACGCTCTATATACGTGTGAATCACGCGCGATTCGTTTACTCGAATTCGAGAACAAAGCAAGATAATGTGAATTGCGGCGTTATTTAGAGATATTTTTACCGAACACGGAAACGATGATCGATTACAATTCGGTTACGTTTGCGAAAATCCTGATCAATGGGAGCAAAGATTCGAAGAAAAAGATTTGCGAAACAATCGTCATCGCGGAAAGGTAAGCACCAATTGACGATGTCATCACGGGGACATATGGAAATATAAGTAAATGATCGCCGCTCATCGATTTGTATTAACGTGTGTGTATTGTACAGGTAAAATGGGGAAACGTGGACGGTGGCTACGGTGAACATTATTGGGACATAAATTACAAGTAGCGTATCCGCACACACGACCTGTTGCTTTCATCGTTATTTTCCAACTGCTTCGAACTAAACCCAGTTGCTACTAGCCAGCTAGATCTGCTGGATAGACTTGTGTGAAATAAACATACATGATGCTACCTTTGAGCGCTTAGTTAGAGCGTATGCTACTGGAGGTGGTAGCACTCCAACGGTAACGCGCGCGTTACCAGGCCGTACAAAGGGACAGCTAATCTCAATCTCGTGTTATCTCTCTCCCTAACTAGAGAAGCCTGTCAGTCGGAGAGAAATAGCGAGCAGCCAGTCGTGGCGCAATTAGAGAGAGATAGCACGGGATCGAGACTAGCTATCACTCTCTATCTACGAAACTGGTAACGCGCGTGCTACCCCCAGTAGTATATGCCGTATATGCTCGAAGGGTGCTGCTGCGGTGGAATGTTGAGCGTGCACGAAATGTTGCGGAAAGAAAAGTACGGACAGTTGCTGACAAGTAAGTATTGGAGGAACGATAGATCCTGTGATAATTAGACGGTACTTCGGGCGGCTGCGGCTGCGGCTGCGGCTGCGGCTGCGGCGGCGACGGTGGTTGTTAATGATTCGGGATTGCGATCGAAAGGCGCGTCCCGCGTGTGATGTAAGATATTAAATAAATGAGTAATTGATTCGTACAGCGAATATATTCAAACATACAACATCGTTATTATTACATCGATAATCTGAATTGTTGTTGCGTTAACGTCGTAAAACTTGTTCCGTAGTGTGTGGGCGCGCGAGCGCATATATGCGTCGCGTGTTGCGTGTACGCGTATGTACGAGTGGTGTATGTACGGGAGTTTCGTCCAGAAACGATAATTTTGTCTAACAAACGAGCGATCGAACAAATCCCAAATATTATTGCTGCTGAAGAGGAGTGAAGACGGTTTTGTGAAAGTTATAAATAACGTCATGTTTCACGTACGGTGGAATTTTCCTCGAATCGATACGAGAATCGAAAACAAATATGTAAAACGCGCGAGTTAGCTTTTTCTCGTTTATCAAATCTTATATACGTGTACATACATATGTGTAAAATGATAAAATATCATCTACGTACATATACAAATAATGTGCCGCGTCCAGACAACTGATGATGGTGGTGATGGTGGTGGCAGCGGTGGCGGTTTCCTGCCCGGTTCTGATTTTCAATCCTTGGACCGAAGCGAGCGTGTAAACAGTATATTTCATCTTTGATCTCTTTCTCGGATTTCCTTTTTATTAATTGCAAGTAGTACGCGGCGGCACGTGGGCGCGTGCGTACCGTAAGATATAGTGCACTCGAGGAGTGCGATTAATCGTGATTGCAGCGAAAACGATTCGCAACGATCGGTCGGAACTACGTCATCGTACCGACGTCGTCGACGCGTTACGAACAGTTTTACGATGATCGAATGCGATCGATATCGGTTACGAAGCCTGCCGAAGCTACTCCAGGGTAGCATACTGGGTGTAATTGTCTGCACGCGTTCAAATAAATACACGCGAACCGATAAAATAACGAACGATAAATGCCCATGCCCAAATCCTGTCTATTTAACGCGCTTCTCGCGTCGAATGTGTGACGTAGTACTCGTGTTATCTGCGTAGCGCGTGTAGTATACTACGTATTTTACTACCAGAAATGGTATAAGTATAAGTACGCGCGCGGCAAACATCTTATCCGCCACTTATCCGCTGAAAGCGCGCAGTAAAAGTACGCGGCGGTCCATACAAAACGCGATGTAAACGCGTACATTTACTTCTCTGTGGTATGGTACGTAAATACGCAATAATAAAAATTTCGTATTAAACGTTGGTAAAAAAAAAACGATGATAGAAAAACCCTTATTAAATGCTCGTTCCATCTATTTGTTACAATTACACGACGCTGGAAATGACACATTTACTGTTAATATATCGTTTCTAAATTATCGATATTCTTAAAGCTTCGTTTGGCACGTGTGATTAGAATGTTTACTTCAATACGAAAGTATTAGAACGCGATCTTCTTAACGCGAAAGAACCGGTCTCTAGCGCTCTTCGTCTTGCTCATTCTTTCCCATTTTTTCCCTCCTTTCTTCGTCGTCGTCGTTCCAACTTTCCTATCCTCGCGGCGGCGGCCTATTCTTTCCATTCGTTGTGCACGCGTACGCTACGGTCATGACCGAGGCGCGCGCGCACACACAAACATACACGTTCTTTCTATGTCATGTCTGCTTTTTCCACCGTCTTGCTCGTTTTCAGGTTCTCAGTTACTAATTACACACACACACACACACACACACACACACACTTAAAACACTCATTTACAACTGGACTACTATTTTTCGAAGATGATACATACATCGAGCACGTTCGATTCTCGAATAAAACACGCGCGAGAGATGTCATCTCTCCGTCTTTTCTTCATTTCTCTAAGTGTTTATTCGCCTTCGCGTTAACGTTTTTATACTTAGGATTCGAATAGATTTTGTATTTTTGTGCGGTATAGCTTTGTAGGAGGTTCGTAGATATCGGTCAGTTTTCAGTTCCAGGAACGCGGGATAAACAAGACGACTTGAAAAGATAGTCGGAACTAGCGTGGAGGGAGAGCGAGAGAGAGAGAGAGAGAGAGAGCGTCTGTCGGTGAACTCAGCGTTGTCGTCCTCTGTAAAAAATCAGTCAAACAACGTAGCACGACGCTTTTTAATAACTAACTCTCGCGGCGACGGCGAATCGAGCTTTCCTTGCGATTTTCGTTTCGCATTGCAAATTTATAGTTGGCCGACGTAATTACCGATAGCTCGTTCGTGCCCTTCCCGCAATGAGTAGCTGTGGCTATTAGCAGCAATCGTCTGGTGTGAACGTTTACGTGAAACGGGAAGGCACAGGGGTATGGAGCAAAGCTGGGGGGAGCGGGGAAGAGCGGAAAATGAAAACTGACCCTATCTTGTAAACAGTAGTAGAAAAAAATTCGTTTCGCGACAAACCCGACGACGATGATCCGTGTCTAATCTTAAGTACATAACATGAGTGGTTGTACGTCGTCGGACGATGTCGCCGTGACAAGAACCAACTTTTGGCACTTTGACACTGTTTCGCGTGCGCGCGCTCTTGTTTACGTGCGTATTATTTATACGTAGTACGTTTACCTCCAGCTTCTCGTATTTCTCCACTTTTGTACGTTTCAGAAATATTGTGTATATTTATAAAGATTATTTTTCATGGCAGTATTCACGCGTCGTCGCCGCGTTGCTCGTAATACGGAACTGCCCGCCGCCGCCGCCGCCGAAAACTGGATGGCGGGCGAGCGTTTTCGAACGTTCTTCCTGGATCAGTTCTGGATTCACCCACCTGATCGATCGGACTCAGAAACAAGACTCGGACTCGAAACAAACGAGTTGAGCGCATACTCGGAGTTCGAAATCGCATCGTGGTCGTCAGCGATATTTTGGAGGGGCGGGCGGTGGTACCGTAGAGCGAGCACTCGCGTACATCGCGAACGAGACCGGAGCTTGCTGCATCGGGCAGAATCGAGACGCGAAGGAAATTAGGAGTCTTCTCGGCAACGTTCAAGCTTTTGCCGGACCTTTACCGGATAATCGGTAATCAATCCGGCATGTGCGACGGTCGTCATCGTCGTTCTGGTCATCGGCGGCGACGGCGGCGGCTCGATACGCGTGCGAAGGAACGATTAAAAAGAATAAGAGAGAAAAGCGCGTTCGTTCGCGCACGCAACAAATGCGTACGACACGTACGATACGTTCGCGCGACTGTCCATCTGCGTCCTCCTCACCGTTGGCACTCGCGCCTCGCGCCTGTGGAGGCACAGCAGGCGATCACGCAACGACTCGTACTCGCTGCTCGCCGCTCGCCGCTGGTACGTACGTTGCTCTACACTTGTTCACCACTTGCCACTGTCACCAGCCGCAAGCGTTTCTACTGATGTCATCCTCTGTCGGCTGTGGCACCCCTGTGTCTGTTGTGCCACTTACACTTGAGAATCCTTATGTAGGTTCGTCGGAACGCCGCGTTACATAGAGCGTAACACATCGGGTTCACGGTACTGTTCAGATAACAGAGGTAATAGAAAAAGTCCCATAGCATCTGCGGTATGTACCACGAACACGCCGTGATCGATTTGATCAGTACGAGAATGTTGTACGGCGTCCAAGTGATTATGAACGCCAGCAGTATGGCCGACAACGTTCTCGCCGCTTTGCGATCCGCTTTCTTCTCTGGCAACTTCTTCTTCTTGTTCACGACCGTCTTGTTCACGGGCACCGTCTTCCCACCACCACCACCACCACCACCACCACCACCACTGGTCAACGCTTTCGGGATATTCTTCGTGTTCGTGAGAGGAATCCGAATGTCCGGCATGTGCGACGGTCGCCTGGTGATCGTCGACGGGCTCGTCGATTCGTCGCGATACATCTTTATGCTGGGACCCTCCGTGCTGCTCGCGTCTCGTGGCGGAAGCCGAATCATAATCGTGTAAACCTATGCACAGACACGCGACGATGACTACGCGAGAAGGAGGGATACGTGCGATTCATTCGATCTGGTTTTCGTTTGCAACTATCATACGATTCGCTCGGTGACTTCAACGCGAACAAACGCGACTAACGTCTAAAACAACAGCATACATGCGAACGTAGGAACACAACAAGAAGAACAAGAAGATAGAAAACGTACGGAATCGGTGGGAATGCTTTTTATCAGCGATTCCCCGGATTTGCCAAACTTTTTATACTCAGTGGCGTGATGATTGTCGGCGACGGCTATACCGGTCGGCGTCTTCTCGACGGTCACCGTCGTCGAATGAATACCGCTCAACGAGGCGGACCGCGAGACCGTACCCGTGAGAGGAGTTTCCACCGACAACGGCGTTATCGCTTCGTCGTAACCGTGTCCGGTCCGACTGCTCTCCGCACCCTCAATGTCTTCTTCGTCTTCGTCGTCCTCGCGGCCGCTGTGCCACCACGCGATGCACCATATCTTCAACCACATCCACGAAAACGGTCGATATTTCTGCAACAATGTTCGCAATCATTGTTCGGTTCCGGTTCGTTATCACGCGTCCGCCTCTTCTACTACTTCTACTACTACTACTACTACTATTACTACTACTACTACTAGTACTACTACTACTACGCCTGCGCTTACGGTAATGTACTTTTTGCGAAAACTAAAACTATGGCTAAGAATGAAATTAAAAACGAATTCGATTGGTCTCTCTGGTAACGCGTACGTAGTAGGATAAACCCGATGACGGTCTAGTCGAATTGAATAATTACTGGCGGGAACAATTACCGTTTTGTATTGAGGATAATGTTTCTCTAGATAAGATACCGCGATATGCGTCGCGTTCACATCCTCGATTCCAGTGCTCGATTCGCTTCTTGGCCTCCTGCCGTCCTCCAAGTCCAACGCTTCGTCGCTAATTACGGAACGGAAACAAATCGACATGTACTTTCCAAAGTTGATTCGAACGATGATCGCGTTGCTGCGCCCGTGCCCGCGCCCCGCAACCGAACATCTTTATCCTCCTCGATCGCTACTCGATTATCGGCTCAGCTCTCGCGTCGAACGGGCGATAGAGCGTCTTACATGGAGCGCTTGCACATTACACGATTCGTCGGGACACAGTCTCCCTTCGCCTCGTGTCCAAATGACGAAACAAAACAGAAACAGAAAACAAAGGGACGTGCACTCGCGCCTACGCTCTACCTCTTTCTTTCTCTCTTATTACGCGGCGTATCGTATCATCAGCATGTTCCGTCGCGCGTGCATATGCGCGTCTCATACCGAGACGCTGAGTCCTACACAGATAGTACTGGATGTTGGACGTGTTTGATGAAAAATATAAATACACAAATGCTTGAATCGAGCGATCGAGTTTACGCGAAAGATGAAAATCAGTGTTTGAGCGTGGGAGGGAAACGACGGAGACTGAGACCAGAGACTGGTGAAAACGGAATGGGACACGAAAAGGGAAAAGAAAGGAAAGGAACGCATAGAAATGAAACGAAAAGAAAATACATAAAAATCGTGTTCAATGCGCATCAATATAATATAATTACGGTCACGTATAATCGATCATGCGTGTATCGGCGTATAACAACGACGACGACGACGACGACGAATAATCGTAATAACGCGTGGAATAAAAATGATAAAGCACGGTACGTAATGTAACACGTAGACATATGTATGTATGCGTGCATGTATATTTGCGAACGGCGAGGAGGCGGTGATTCGCTGAAAGAATAACAACCGGGTGGGGTGGCGCCGATATCCGCGATCATTATCGCGTTCGTTCCACGATATAGCAAATAGATGTTTGTTTAGAAAAGTAGTCGGACAATCAACCTAGAGTTGCTCCGTTTACTGGCGTCTTGTGTTCCGCCGCCACCGGCCTGCAGATAGGGAAGATCCTTTTGCCTCTTCATGGTCTCCTTCCATATTCGCCAGTAGAGAATGATCATCACCGACACGGGCACGTAGAACGCGGCGATCGCGGTACCGAACGTGATGTAATGATTCGTTTCGATGAATTGAATGTAGCAGGCGTTTACGGGCACCGTTCTCTGACCCTCGATGTACGGCCAGGCGTAGATCCACGGTGGCCATAGAAGCAGCGATATCCCCCATGCGCACGCTGTAACCGAAATGGACGAAGGTACGAATGATGGTAGAACGTGGAACGTTTTCATACTAAAAAAAAAGCTGCTCAAGTCGCGAGAATAATCGACCGACCGACCGACCGACCGACCGACCGACCGACCGACCGACCGACGACGGATCGAAGAGCCGGGGGGCGGGCGGGAGTTAAAGGGTGGACGGCGGCGGCGGCGAGGACGACGACGATGGGAACGGAGGGAAGTCGCGCGCCGCCGCGTTCGAAAAACAAGAGGAAGTCGCGCGCGATTGTATACGCGCAGCGCGCGGTAACGTTACTTGCCGATCATTATGGCGGCCTTGGAGGTGGTTCTCTTCACCCGATAGGTGAGGGGCCTGGTCACGGAGAAATATCTGTCGAAGCTGATGATCAGAAGATTCAAGACGGACGCGTTGCTGGCCAGGTAATCCAAAGCTAACCACGTGTCGCAAATGTGGGGACCGAGAGGCCAATAACCGAGCACGGTGTACAACGTGAAGAGTGGCATCGAGATCAAGCCGATAGCGAAATCGGCTACCGCCAGACTGAACAAGAAGTAATTCGAGATCGTCTGCAGCTGTTTGTCAATCTTGAACGAGATCATCACCATTATGTTACCGACCACCGTGGTCACGCTGAGCATAACGGCGATCATCACTATGATCACGCGTCCCCATATCCCGTAGGTGTGTGGCTCTCCACCGCAGTCGAGACCGTTGCTGCTCGCGTTCGAACTCTCGATCTCGCCGCCGCCGCCGCCGCCGCCGCCGCCGCCGCCCCCGGTAATCTCGGAGAATTCGTCGAAAACATTGGAAATGTCCAGCACGGCCGAAGTCACGTTCATGTCTGTGTCGTGCTGGTGTGCGTGACGAGCGTCTTTTCGCGCCTATCGCCGAAACGAAGACTCTTGTCTCTTTTTGTCCGCGCGTCCGTCACCGTGTTCAACCGTGCGCGTCGCGCCGTCGTCGCTCCACGCACGTTTTACAAGCGAGGCGGCGGACCTTCTTCGCGACGACCGCAACCGGGTTATCGCTCAGGCAGTTTTCTTCTTCTTCTTCTTCTTCTTCTTCTTCTTACTCTGTTTTCGGTTTCTCTCTGACGATCGAACGTGACTCTTATCCTAGTTTGTCCATCGCCAATCGCCCGTTCATACCGCCCAGTATACGACGCAGTCTATGTGCGTACTAAATTTTCTTCTTTATCATCCAGCTTATCGTCGTCTATCAAAAATCCGTCGTCCGTCGATTCAACGTATCACACGACGTTCCGACGACGCGGCGGACACTTTCCTCGCGATTTCGGTTCTTGGTTTCCGTCTGCGTTTCGCACTTCTTCTCCTTCTTCTTCTATCCCTCGTCGACAACTTAACATCGTCGTCATCATCATCATCATCATCATCATCATCTTCTTCAACGTCTTCGGTCGTCCGTCTTTCCGTTTCATGACTAGCCGATCTTTTTCTTCTTTTTCCCTTTGGTCGTTGCTAAACCGTTGCCTTCGTCTCTGTTCGTCCACGGCCCTCGATTTCTCTCAAACTCACCACCAGAACCTCTATCTCCTTCCCTTCACCCCTTCTTTCTCTCTCTTTCACTCTATTTCGTTTTTTCGGGTCTCCTCTCCGCGGAGCGGCTACGACAACGACGACAAGGACGCCGACGACGACGACGACGACGTCGACGAAGACGACGACGACGATGACGACGGTGATGCGTACGAGTTCTTGTTCGCGTGCTTCACGCACTCGAAAACGGTCGACGCGTCATTTTCCCATCGTCGTTTGGAACATCCTTTCTCCAAATCCGACCTATTTATTGTTCTCCTCGCATGCAGAACCAGCAGCAGCGGCGAGAACGACACGCGACACGCGACGCGACGTACGCGCGCACGCACGCACGTACGCACGTACGCACGCACCGATTTCAGGTTCGCCTCTGATGTGGACCGTGGTGAACGTTTACCGCCAAAGCGTAGAGAGACGAACGAAGGGTGCGTCAACTGCATACCCTTCTCAGCGGCCGCATCGACGGCGCGTCATCTGTCAACAAATAACAATCGTATAAGTATGTATGCGCGCGCGCGCGCGCGCGCGTTGGTGGTTGGATCGCGGCCGCGGTATAGTATATGCACGTACGTATACGGCGAACTGTACGTAGGAGTACGTCTCTAGTAATCTTTGGATCTCTCTGTCTTTTACGCGACTCGATCGAAATGAAAATTAAAAAAGAAAGATAAATCGATATCCGTTACCGGCTAGGCGATCCGTACCAATGTCCAGCAGGTTGCCACTGCCATCGCCGATGCCAATAGTATGTTCCGGTACGCGGCGCGAACAACCGTCGTCGTACTCATTGCCAGACACGGCGCCGTAACGCCGTAACGCAGAGTCGATCGGAGAAGAACGATCATTTTCGACGATGCTTACGACAACCCTGTCAAAAGCGGTTACGCAAGTATTATTCGTTACCATTTTCGCGCGACTCCGTTTCATTTATAACTTGGTAGGTATACGTAGACGCGCGCGCATACCGAGTTTTCGAGTCGCCGAAACAACTAACTATCCCGTCGTTAGATAGATCAGTCCGATTCCACTTTCTACCGGGGATCGTCGACCTGATACACAACTTGTCGTCGCCTCCGACCTTCACGGCTACCCTCCTATCCTACACACAATACGCGCTTACACGTTAAGCTGGCTAATCGGTTCACGTACACCGCGAGTTTAGCGTTTGTCGTTCTTCGAAACAACTAAGAATCTACTACGACGACGACAACGAATCGATTCGATGATCTGTGTGACAAGACCATCGTTCAGTCAGTCCCGAGTAGTCTCGAACAGCAAGGAACAGGACGAAACGATGCGGCATCCGTCGCGGGGACCGCGTTCGTGTATTCCGCGACGTTTTTACTAAAACAGACCACACATAGCCGGTAGCTAGCCGCTGGACGATGAACGCGATACATGTATGTACATACGAACCATCTACTTTGCCCGTAACTCCTTGTATTTTGGCCGCACATTTTGCTCGCTCGTCGTCGACTGTTAACGACGACAATACGTAATCCTCTGCGTTTATTTTCAGCCAAAATACAATAAATTGCACGCAGTGTACAGTAGGCAGCAGAGCTACATTGCGTATCGCGTATCGCGGAAGGTCGGGTATTATTAAGTGGCATAGTGGTTGCGCGTCGAAAGCTCCGCCACGGTAGTTCTCCTTATGCGAGTTATAAATAATTTTCCGATATCGATATTGTTTCATCTTCGCACGCGTAAGCGGCCACGATCCAACATCCAACGGCGAGCACGCGCGATAGTTCTCCTCTGCCACTTCCTCTGCCACTGCCTCTGCCTCTGCCTCTGCCTCTGCCTCTGCCTCTGCCTCTGCCTACGTATCTACCTGCTGCTGCTCTCCGTCTATTTTCTATAGTCTATTACGCATTAAAAATATCGTCTCGAGAGAAAAGATCGTCCGCCGCTCCGCACCGTTGCACGTAGCTCCGTCGCGCGTTGCCTGACTAATGGTAAACCGCTGGCTATAATAATCGTGGCCTCGTTAAGGATGTATTGGCTATACAGTCAATCCCGAAAGTTTATGTACTTTAGAAACTCATTTTTTAAAAAGAAATCAGACGTCGGAAGAACATTGCTAATAATAAACAAGAAAAAAAAATTTTCGATTTTTCCGAGATTTTCCAAGGGAAAATTGCATCAGACTTTTCTTTTAGAGGACGACGAGATCTACAATTTCCATGTAAAAATTTTTCGCTAGCGTCAATAGTTTACGAGTAATTTGCAAAAAACTGTTTTTTCGTTTTTCGTCAATAACTCGTAAACTATTAATGCTAGCGAAAAACTTTTATACAGAAATTGTAGATCTCGTTATCCTCTACAAGAAAGCAATTTCTGTAATTCTCAAGAACTGCAATTTTCCCTTATCTTCAAGGGTGTAGGAGTTATTGAGGAAAAACGAAATTTTTTTCCAAAAGTTCGCCGTTTCGACTGTGGAATGGTCGGATTTTGTCAACATCAATAAAATGCCAAATAATCATACGTGACTCGTTAAATATCGAAGTTAGAAGGAAAACAACTTTTATTTGAAGCATTTTTCGCAATTTTGAAAAAAAAAATTTTTCGTCAGCGTCAATCTTTTTAGGACGTAGCTATTTATTATTAGCATTATTCTTCCGACGTCTGATTTCTTTTTAATTATAGGAAATGCGTTTTTCTAAGGTACATAAACTTTTCGGATTGACTGTATAGCCAATACATCGTTGACGACGTCCCTGTCGATAGAGACGGACACACGTATGTGTGTAAGCATAGCAGCAGGTATAGGCAGCAGCAGGTACGAACGAAGAACGAATGTGAAAACCGTCGCGTCGCGCGATAATGGTTTACGATCGCGATCTATTTACGAGGCAAGCTGTGTACGTTCATACCACCCTACCTACATCTCGTATGCTCGAGCCCTATTTATACGTATGTATCCTATGATCGGCCACCGTCAGCGTCGACGCTTTCTTACCGCGGCAGCCCATTTTTTCGTTGTGCGTAGCAGTTTCACAGTAGCTCGAATCAGTTTTCGAGACAGCGGGCAAATCAGGGACGAACGACCCTTTCCCTATTTCTGTTCTAGTAGTTTTTGAACGCGGAGAAAAGTCGATAATTCGACGCACCTGACCGTGTGATCGCGAGATACGGTCGAGAGAAACGGCGACGTCGACGACGACGAAGCGACGCGAAATCATCGGCACCACGATCATACAACCATTTCTTCGGGTTGCTCGTTCGGATAGCTGGCGCTATCATGTTGCTACCGTACGCTCTCTACACCCTATATCTACACACCGATCGCGTTACGCGCTGTTCTTTTCGCCGTATGGTTCCGTACTTACTGCAGCTCGCGCGTGTAATCCAAGTTGCTCAACGACGTGACATCGTGCGTCGCGTTCGTTGTCGCAGCAACGATCGGACGATACGTCGGCGGATCCACCTCTTCCGTTAGCATGCCACAAGCCGCGCCGTCGTCAATAGCGTATCACCACCGGCTGCTGGCCGTCCAACCACCGCGGCGGTGGGCATCGGTATCGGGATGGACATGAACATTTCAGGCGTCGCACCCCTCGATCAACTCGATTTCCCTTCTCTGTTCTTCAGCGATCGAATTCAGCCTGTGGAGTCGCATTCTCCGGCGACGATTCCAAGTAGCGTTTCTCACAGACGCCCGACGCGTAACGTGTACGATACTCCTCCGGTGCAGCCGGTGCGTGGTGTCTCGAACCGTACTATTGCTGTGTGCGGCGTTCAGGAAGAACAGACAAAAAAAAGAGACGCGCGTAAGTAGGTTGTTAGAAGATTTCTGACTACGGTCGACGCGGGAGTCGGAGTCGGGGAATCAGAGTCGAGGTCGGGGGAATCGCGGGAATCGAGAATGCAAAAAACGATGACACACGAATCACGTTGCCTGTCGCGTATCGCGCGCCCAAGACTCGATCGTTTGATCATCGTCGACGTTTTGTCGCAGCTGGAAATTAGAACGTAGACCGTATATTACTTGTAACACTGCGTACGTAAATCGATATCGAGACCGGGCGATATCGTGTACGACCAAAAAATTGGATTTCCGAATCATTGGATCTCGGAAGTGTTGGAATTTCTCGCGCGCAGAGCATCGCGCTTTCTTCCAACTCGCGTCCATTGCGACGCGCCCGTGTCGCGAACCTCAGTGAACACTCTCCGTCGAGAGAAGCTGCCGCCGACGGAAACATCGCGTCTCTAACAATAAGTCATTGAAACTACTTGAAAAACCATACGTCTGTACTCTGTATCGCGTATACACGGGGTTCGGTACGGCTGCGGCGGCAGCACGGCTCACATCAACGGGCGCAAGCGGAGTTAGTGGTACGAAACCTACATGGTCAGACGCGGCGACCAACGACGCGGCGCAACGAACGAAACGTACGCGTGTTCTCTCGTCTCTCCCGCTGCGCCGCGCCGCCGTCACGATTTAATTATATCGATGTTACGTTCGACAAAAAATTAAATACACGGCACAGTTATCAGTGTATTGGCAAAACCTCTCTCCAAATCGCAACAAGCTACACAACATACTACGTACCCGGCGGATTCAAGAGATTAAGTCCGACGAATATTAATAATAATAATTATAACACTAATAACGTAGTAACGATATCATTGCCCTTTTTTTTATCAACTACGCAAAATAAAAACATCGCTAGCAAGGATACCCGTGTAGTGAATGACGATGAAAACGAAAACATCTGAAGAGGTTCGGACACGAACGAGTCCAAAACTCTTTGCCTCGACGAACTCGTTGCAAAAATGATCTAATGAAAATCACGCCCATCGATCAGACATCGTTCCGCGATGCGAATGTAACCAAGTTTGAATATAGACGACGACGACGACGACGACGAGGACGAGGACGAGGACGAGGACGAGAATGACGACGACGACGACGGCGGCGACGATCCTAGAACACAATCCGTTGTAAAATATTGATAGATCATGCAGACGATAGGAACGCGCGGCACGAAACGAATTTGGACTCGCGTTGGGTCATCGTCGAGATCCAGATCGAAATCGAAATGAGATAACAATGAAACAACAATTTCTCCCATCACATTTTACCTTGCTCGGCGTGGTTTACGTATAACGGTTGGCCACTCGCGTAAAACAGATCGGTCCCTTACAAACATCCCGGCGGTACACAGCAGTAAATTCTCGATTTCTTTCGTTCATCGCGTAAGGTATTCTCACGGTTATTCGTTACTCGCTACATCGACAGACAAAGAACAGAAAGGTGTTGAAAATGTAACGCGGAACACGATGTATTCGATCGATCACTGATTTGATCTGGTTGCTAGAATTCGAGCGAAAAAGGCGTGGTAGGAGATTGAACGACGGCGACGACGCCGACGACGACGAGGAGGACAACGACGATCACGGAAAGAGGATCTGGGTGACGAGGAAAACGAATGAACACAAATGAGCTCACAGGTGTTATCTGTCGATGATGAGTCGCGGGCGGGGATCGACGAATCTTTCGTCGAGGGGTGGGTCGATGGGTCGCGCCACTCCAAGGGATCCGACTTCGCGAAGGGAATGAGACCTCGACGAGAATACGACTAGAAGACGTGGGTATGGCAGTGACGACGGCGACGACGGTCCGAAAGCAGCGAGAAAACGTTTGACGAGTACCGCGTCCACCGGCGTTCGAGGAGCGCCGACAGCGAACGAACCGGGTAGTGTTATGTATTGGTCCGGTGGTCGGAGGTGATCCCTGGACGGGCCGTGGCCGTTCGTAGGACGAAACGAAAACGCATACGATCTATGCGATCGAAAGCGACCAAGATGAAAAATCGGTGTTGGTCGGCGCGTATCTGCCGAGGCGAAAACAACGATGGTAATCGGCGGGGAAGGGTAGCGAGAAACTCGGTTTCGAAACTTGGTACTCGTCGTCGTCGTCGTCGTCGTCGTCGTCGTCGTCGTCGTCGGAACGAGCCAACAACGGTGCTACTACCGCCGCGAGCAGGGTGTGAACCTGGAAAGAGCGCACGAACGCCGATTCGTTTCCTCGCTCGCGAACGATGGCTTTGCACATAATTCGGATATCACTGGCATCCAGATGGCCTCGTCTATCAGGCGACGAACGAACAGAGGCTAGACGAGACGACTATCCGCGAAATTCTTCTATCGTGCACGTATCTCGAGTGTACACGAGAAAACTGTATGTAGTATGTACCAGCAGCAGCAGAGTACCACTCCGGCCCGATTATCGGTCACGCACACACATACACGCAGACGTATCCTCGAGCACGCACACACGACGCGTAAGCTCTCGGCACGCATGCACGGAGAATCCGCGGCGGCGGCGGCGGCGGCGGCGATGGCAATGGGAAAGATGGGCAATGCCGGCGGGGAAGGCAACGACGGTGGGGACGGTGACGACGGAAGGGTCCTGCACAGTGGCGATGGTGGCGTTTAACTAAATCTACGCATCGCACGCGTCCAACGCAAGGCTGCAACGAGACCAATATTTTTGTTCACCGATCGCACGTTCCCCGTGTCCTGTCCGTTATGTTCGGAGTCTCTCTCGAGCCCTTCGCGAACCTATGGACGGACAACGCGCGACGTGCGCGAGATACACGCGGCGGCGAATCTGGAAAAGACCGATCACACGTCTGTGTGCCCGCGTACGTGTGTAAATGCGCGAGAAAGGATAAACGAACGATTATTGCAAACTGAATAAACTGATAAAAGAAAACTACGGCACGTATACGTATGCGTATGCGTGCAGCAGGTTTTTATCTATAGGCAAAAGGGGAGAAAAGTTGCAGTCGCAACGAAAGGAGCGGCCGCGGAAGGCAAGACAGTAAACGAACAAATGGGGTGGGAATATCGTGGAGGTGGAGGTAGGAGAGAAAAAGGGAAGAGTAGGGCGACAGAGAGAGAGAGAGAGAGAGAGAGCGTCAGAAAGGCGCGCGCTTGTGTGTGAGAGACAGATAGAGAGAGAGAGAGAGATAGTGAAACGGGATCAAAGTAAGGGACAGAGAAGGACGCAGAGACGATGATTGCACGAGGGATGCGTTCGCGACGGAAGTACGAGGCACACTACTAGTAACTAAGGGCGTGGGCAATCGGAGGAAAGCCGGTGTGAAGTTCCCGAGGTTAGACGACTACATTGATTTTGATTTTCGAAGCGCGCGCACGGGCGGCCGTTCCGTGTTCAATTCCATCCGCGTTCATAGATGCAAGCATGGAACGTACTGTAGTAGTCATCGTGTCGCTGACGATCTTCATCGCGAAATCAACGTTTACCGTTGACTAGGCTCTGGCCAGACACGGTATCCGGTCGTCAGCATTCGCGGCTTGAACGATTCTCTTTCTCGTTCGGTTCTTCTACGTTGCTCTTGTCGGCAGCGGGAGTGTGATTCAGTGATTCTTTCTACGATTCGCAGCGAGCGTTGTCTCACGCCTAATCCGGTCGTACCAAACCATTTGAAGCGAAAACACGAGTACGCGCGTCTTTCCGTTTAATCGCGTGAATTATATAAAGTATACCTGTCTGTCGAGCTGCCTGCCAATCGATCGCACACTTGTTGTAAAATAAAATATACGAACAATGCCGCGATAGGTTTTGATTATCACGCGCAATGAATTGCCAGACCAGCGTAACCAGCGGCAAGTGTAACAATACATATGAGACACCACGGGCAAACGACCCACAAATTCAACAAATGTCCCCTTGCCCAGGCAGAGAAAGAGAGAGAGAGAGAGAGAGAGAGAGAGAGACATATAATAT